ACTTTGGAGATGGCCTTTAATGTGAGTTGTGAGATGGTGGGATTGGTCCATTCATTCAGAGTCTCTTGGTATTTAATGGTTTCTGGATGTGTTGTGCCTAAAACCTCCTTTGAAAGTTCAACACCTTTGATCATGAGATCAATTGCTCTGGCTTCCCTGTGTTGTGCATTAAAAGTATATGCAAGGGTTGTTATTGACCTGATGGTTTGTGGATGCTCCTCTCCACAGTTTTTTCTCCTTGTATTCAAGACTTTCACATTGAGCTTTTCTGCCTTTTTATATTTCTTTCTGGAAAAGTGGCTTGCTGCAAGACTCTCCATAGCCCAGGTTGTATGTGGGTCCTCTTCTCCAAAAATTATTTGCATAGCATCCAAGACTTCAATAATCAGTCTCTCTGCCTTTTTGTAGTGTCCTGCCTGACGATACATCAATGCAAGATTCCCCTTTGCCATAATTGTATCTGGGTGCTTCTCTCCTAGAATTTTTACCCTTGCTTCTAGAACTTGAACTTCAGCCCTCTCTGCTTCCTTGTTCCTACCCATTCTGAGATAAGTTGTTGAAAGGTGTTCAACAGCCATAATTGTCTCTGGGTGGTCTTCTCCAAAAATCCTCATTTTTGCATCTAGAACTTTAATTCCAAGATCTTCTGCTTCAGTGTAGTTTCCCATCTGGTAGTGGATTAATGCAAGTTGGCCCATGGCTAAAATTGTATGAGGATTTTCCACCCCCAGAATTCTGCTTCCAACATCAACAGTATGTATTCCTAGCTCTACTGCTTCTTTGTATTTTCCCCTTTCAGAGTAAGTTGCAGCAAGGTTTCCCATGGTTTTAATGGTTTCTGGGTGGTCCTCACCCAGAATCCTCTTTCTTGCATACAGAACTTTAATTTGTAGTTCTTCCTCTTGTTTGTATTTTCCTCTTTGATGAAATATTGATGCAAGATTGTCCATGGCAGAGATTGTGTAAGGGTGTTCCCCTCCCAAAATTCTCTCACTCAAATTGAGAGCTTGACTCTGCAGCTTCTCTGCTTTTTCATATTTTCCCCTGCAACAGCAGGTCACTGCATGATTACCCATTGCTGCAAATATCTGTGGATGTTCTTCACCAAGAAGTCTTCTCTTTATAGCCTGGACCTGAACCTCAAGCTCCTCTGCCTCTTTGTATTTTCCCCTTCGACTGTAAGTTTTTGCAAGACTTCCCATAGTATTAATTGTATCTGGATGGTACTCTCCCAGAATTCTCTTTCTCAGATGCAGGACTTTAAGCTTCAGCTCCTGAGCATCAATGTAGTGTCCCCATTCATGGAAGGTTGATGCAAGATTCCCCATAGCCATAAGTGTATCTGGATGCTGCTCTCCTAAAATCCTCACATTTGCATTGAGGACTTGTGAGCCAACCTCCTCTGCTTCTTTGTATTTTCCTCTTCGGCAGTAGATCAATGCAAGGTTTCCCATAGTGGATATTGTATCTGAGTGATTATCTCCTAGAAGCCTTCTTCTTGCCTTTAGAACCTTATTGCCAAGCTCCTCCCCTTCCTTGTATTTTCCCCTTTGCCTGTAAGTTGATGCAAGACTTGCCATAGCTGAAATTGTATGTAAGTGTTCATTTCCTAGCATCTTTTGTCGCTCCTCCACAATTTCTATTTTCAATCTTTCTGCCTCAGCATAATCTCCACCTTCATCCAAGATCATTGAGACTCGTTCATGTGAATCATCATAAAATTCATGAGTCTGTGTGTTATACTTTGAATTGGCTTTGAGATGGGGGAGTAACTCTTGACGAAAGGCATAGTCAGCAGTTTCTTTGTTTTCTGAGATAGAGCAGGCTAAAATTATGTAGGCCATTTTGCAATAAGTCACTTGGTCTTTATCAGACATGATTTCTCTCATCCATGTATGGACCAGTGGATGGACAGAGTAAACACCCACAGAAGGACCTCTGATGATTAGGGACAGTGTCAACAAGATTTGAATTCCTTGTTTGAACCCAAAGCTGTCCCACCTTCCCATGCCATCCAAAGGAAGAAGTCTATGATCAAGCAAAACAATGGCCAATGGCAGCCCACGTCTTTTGTCAACTTCTATATCTCTCATGTTACTATTCTCAGCAGCATTTCTGAATATATCCTCTGAGATCCACTGATAATGGTAGAAAGCAAAGATGTTCAGAATAAGAATAGCAATTTGTGCAGCATATACATCAAGCCCATTAGACCTTGCTTTGAGTTTGAGCTGATTCATAGACAACTCCCAAGTGCCATACACAGTTTTATTATACTGTGATGCTCCCTTGAACATCACAGAGGACAAGAGTTTCTGACTTTGTTTCTTATAGAGAGTATGATATTCAGTAAGATCATAAGCCCCTGATCTAATAAATGCTCCTGCTTGATCCACAGCCAGAGGCAGACAACAGAGCTCTGACACAATCCCCTTTGCAATATTTCTAAGAGATGTATCTGTCATATCCAGAGCACTAGACCTCAGAAGCAGAGAGATTGCATCTTCTTCTGCCATATCATTCACCCCAAGGGAATTTTCAACTACAGTAAGACAGGACAATGCAGGGTTCCGAGTGGTGATCAAGATATTAACACCACCACCAGGTGGAAAGAATGTCTCCAATTCCTCTGCAGTCAGTGCATCAGCATTATCCAAGACCATCAGGAATTCATTCTGTAGTGACCCCATCCAGGCAAGAGCAGACTCAGATGATGGATTAACAAGACCAGATGACTGTGCAACGGGAAGGCCGCATATACCCTTCAGACATTGGGAAATGGTATCAGCAGAAGAAGCATCGACCCAAAAAATGTGAGAGAATCTGAATGATGGTTGTGATGCGTGAAGCAGAGAAAGAGCATTTACTCACCTGTCAGTCATATCCTCCGAAAACTTCAAGCTAATCTGGGTTTTTCCGATTCCCCCCATGCCATGAAGCACAAAAACTCGTCGTGGTTGACGTTTGAAATCAGGGCGAGGGATGAAGTAATTGCTGAGCTTTGCAAGGATGTCGCCCCGCCCTGTGAAGCGCGAGCTAGAGTTTAATTTTTGTAAAACAGGAACTACTTCGCGGGATTTCGTCATCGTCGCCGTCGGTGTTCCCCCACATGTGTTGTTAATAACCTAGCGGGAAAAAAAAAATCTGGGAACCCTAAATTTGGTATGACGACTAGCTGCTTACGGTTTGCGCTGCGATGACTGTACTATTGGTGATGGTAACGTTCTGACTGTTGGAAAAGTTTCCAATGATAATACCACTCATCGTGGCCAGACTGATAGTAGGTGAGTGCTATAGAGAGAGGTACAAAATTAATGCACGCTGTTTAGCACGCTGCAAACAAGGATGCGGAGACGCGCACATAGCTATTACCCCCCCCTGACTGTTGTCAAACGCTCGAATGTTTAAGCTTTGTTTTTTTTTTCGTTTTTTTCCCCATCAAACTGCTACCCACGAATGAAGACCCAAAGATGTAAAACCGAGTAGCGTTCCGGAAAATTTTACTGGATATAGTAGTACGCATGTCGGCTCTAATTCCTAGAAACCAGAGTTCAGGAAAGTTGTGGTGCATGTGTATCTTCCCTGAGTCCATCTTGTTACGAATCTAGCGACAGAGGTTCAAGGTCACCGTACGTAGCCGTTAAACAAAATCCGAAACGTGCGTGGTACATAGTATGCACTCGAAACTTAGGGTCTCGTCAGCAAGATTCTATGTGAGGAATTGTGCTTGCGGGCCATGAGTGAAAGTCATATCAGAGGTGATTCTAGTCGTCGTCCACGGATGTTTTTATTTTTGGAAGAGTGCAAAACATCGTTTTTACAGCTGGGCCTCAGATATAGAGATTACGACCTTGTGATTCGCGGGCCGAAATTAATTATACAAGAAGGCCAATATTTGAACGGGAGAAGGTCCGAATCCTTGTTGGGGTTATCAGCGCGCCGACCTGGGTCCGTTTTCATATATCAATCAGTATCGGCCGATACATATGGGTATACGCAATTAAGCGTTTAGAGTTTGTGAGGGAAGGAAAGGAAGGGGCTGAATCGAGCTTGTTGGTCAAGTTGCGAGTGAACGCAATGAATTCTACGGATGGGACGTTTGGGGTCAGGTTGATTGGTCACTCTTGTGTGATGACTGTCCTTTAGACCTCAGCGCTCAGCCTGCACCGTAGCTAAGAAACGTGGCGCAAGGGGAGACTAGGATCCGACCCAGACTCCACATTGGGTGTCTGAACGAACGAATGAGTTCAAGGATGCGAACTTGAGTACTACATAGGTCGGAAAGCCAAGAAACAAGGTTAAATATCGCCTGGTGAGATCACAGGAAACGATTCGGCCTGCTGAGGGTATCCTTCGTTTGAAAGAAACACTGCGCCAGAAGGAGTAGTTATGTAGACAATCGGCCACATGAACATGAACATCAGCAGTGTTTTGGCGCCGTAAGCGTCAGCGACGCTTCGAGTACTTGGGCAGGAATGCGAGCTAAAGTTGTCTGAGGAATGACGTTTATCCGGCAAAGAGATCCGAAGAAATCCGAAGAAGGACGAGGTATCGCAACTGGGTGGAGATGCATGCCAGCTTCAGGTCGCGCGCGGGTGCGGACACGGCCTCAAAATGATGCTCCCGTCCAAGAAACGGCCATGAGGGTTCTGAAAATATTCATCCAGGTATGTGAAGGCCTCGGGCCGAATGTCGAATATGAGAAGAGCCGCGTAGGTATGTAGGACGTTCATGTGCCAAGTTGGCGCCAGTGACAAATGAGATTGAGAAGCTGCAAGAATCTTCGGGTGCAGACGTGTGAGCCCAGCTCGGGATTTAATTTTAAACCCAGTAACCGGCTGAGTTTGATTTTGATCATGGAGGTTCTCGAACTATATCAGCTACGATGGAGTCAGATTCTGAATAGGTACACGCCGACAAACTCGGGGAAATTCAAGCGTCGATAGAGCTAAGCAGCCATTTTATGATCGTGTTTGGCAGAGGGCTTCAAAGCTGATACGCATGTAGAGACAGATCACCTCCATCATCTATCGACGATGCAATCGAGCTGTTTTCGCTTTGAGTCCATTTGCTGTTTCACTCGGGACATCTCCACCGAGAACTTACGGCATGTAAGTCTTCACAACACATACTTCTTTCCTCGCGCTGCTGCTGATGCAATCAACATTCGAACAGATCACAGTTTGCACAGGAATTCATGGAGAACAGTTTGAGAAACCCCTCAACTGCGTAAGCTATACATTGTAAACCCATCCTTACATACAGTCTTTGATCAGATTTTAGACATCTCTGGTTCCAGGCTTATCCGAGGTCCCCCTACCCCACTCACCGCCTCACACACACTCATAGCCCACCTGGAACCTACCGAGGCTGCTCCGCCACCTCATCGACAACTTTGTGCGCACCCAGTACAGCCTCAACTACGATACCTCCCTTCCCGAACGTAAACGTGGTCGCTCAAAAGGGAGCATAGAAGTCAAGCCCGTGACATACGGCCCACCTCCAAGACTCGGACGCCCCCCTGGAAATGGGTACAAGCAGAGGCTGAAGTCATTGTTGGATGAGGATGCAGGTCAAGGAGCAAGGGATGTCCCCGGAAACAGGTTTCATTTCCTGTTTTTTGTTGAATTGGTACCATTACTTTCGTTTTACTAATCTGTTATTGGGTCCCTGGAACAACCTTCGCGGGATGAAAGGTCCTTCTCTCTAGGCACCCGGATCTGGTCCATCCGTTCTTCCGACACCATCCCCACTTGGCAAGGGCAAGCATACGCCCTCTGGCTTTCATACCACTGCGGCTGCAGAGTGCGATACAGCCCCCTGATTCATTTCTCGGAACCCCTGCCCCTCATTTTACTCTATTAACGGCTTTTTCGGCGCCGACGGAATTCTGGGGTGAGGAAGCATGGCAGATTCATCATCTATCTAACTTTTTTCCAAAGCACCGGCCCGGTCGAACTCACAGTTGGTACGAGCCTCCCACTCCCATTGCATCTTGACACTCATCAGTCTCCCAGGAACCCTCTCCCCACTCCTCAATCCCCACCTTTTATTGATAACTTGGTCGCTAACGCCGTCATCACCGCAAATGAAATCAGTGTTTCTTTCGAGCCTACCACTTTACCATCTGTCCAAGCATCCGTCATTAGAGGCGAGCTTACCTAGGGTATGAGACACATTCCCCAAGCTTCCTATACACGTTAACAGATTTTTCTTATTTAGGTGGAACCGACAGCTCTGAGCCAAAACACCCTCCCCAACGGTTGAATGAGAGAGGTCTGAAGTAAGTGCTGCTTAAAAATAACACCGTACAATATTTGAACCAGCTTTCCTTCCAACCAAGTCTTAGTCGGTGGCGGCGGTCATGTATGAGGTGGTAGCAAATCCGACGCGACTGTTGGCGGTGTCGAAACTGAGTAGAACCTTTCAAGGAATGCGTAACCGTTGATAAAGTTGAGGCCTCGACCACTTAGATCATTCACAATAAGGTAGATTCGCCTACCATAGCGGGTGGATTGATTGATACGATAGATAGTAGTAACGTGTGGGGGAGGTTAACTTGTAGTTGATGGGCTTTGAAGTTATTTTCAAACCGTGTTTGTGTCAGACGCCTGTTTTTTCAACTCCTCCAATCTATCGTTTTGATTATTCGTAAGGTTTACTAAAACAAATTTGGTTGAACTGGGGATTGGTTTCCAATAAAAAGATTAAAGGCCATTAGTCCGACCTGCCCGGTTCGAACGGGCGACCTCAAGATATGATGTGTATCCCATTACAGTCTTGCGCTACTTCCAACTGAGCTAAGGTCGGATGCTTAGAATGCACGCAATTGTTTATTAGACGTGATGTACCTACGTAATCCAATCGATAAAAAATCAAATTGAAGTGGAGCGGTATTCACTGTTATACGAGAGTTGCAGTTACCCTCAGTCACCTCAATCAACCAAATTCGAAATATGTAAAGTGCTTTGACCAGGTATATATGTGTATTTCTGAGGCCGTGCGTACTTAGAAGTTAGTAGTTGGCCATAGGCTCCCTTGACATGCCGATGCATGCATTGGCGAAGCACGATTCAATTATTCTCAATGAATGAAACGGTGTAGATGTTATCTTAGATATGTGCTTATTTTTTATTCCACTCGATCTAGACCACTTTCCTTGGCGACCGATTAGATAGATCGACAGAAGTGTTGATTAATCAATCGCTTTGGAAGCACGATTTACCGGGGAAACCCACTCGCGATCGGTTGGCTCACCAGCGCCCCTCTGCTCAGGTATCCGAAGACACGGGAAGACCATATATTAACCTACTATGTAGGATCCGCATTCATACCTTTTTTTGTGAGGCGAAGATTTTTTGAGCCGTATTCTACAATCTACCTGATAACGCGGCAATCAGCGAATTTATGGTCCAAATATCATATCAAGTTGATTTTGTAATTTTATCTTTCAAATTTCTTAACAGGAGTCCGAATCCAAAGGTGCTCATTTCACCTTTTATTTGTTCTTCGCGCTATACCATAATAACATAGGGGCGATCGCTCAAGGTTTCATGGATACCATCCATTGCGAGAATGATATCGAAGTCCACGCGACGATATTCGTACCTACATCTTCCACGCGCCAGAGACGATATAACAAAAGGTCTACGATGCCAATCAGTTGCAATTGGCAGCCCCTCGCTTCCGCTCCCCTCTCTCACACCGCCAACTCACCACCGGCCCCCGAGATAGATTTCGTTCATATTCACTTCTTGGATGGATCCAGAGGCTGCAGCTGCAGCTGCTCTTCAAGCTTTCGTCTCGTACCTGCATAACCAGAGGGAGTTTGGGGATGTTAGTTCTTCCGTCCTTTCCGCTTCCGTCGCAATTACGTTCTAACGATGCCTTCTTGCTGTAGTATTTGTACAGTGAGCGTCCTAAACGCTATACGTTCGACCTTTCGCTCACTTCCTGACATACTAGTATCCGCCGCTTCTTTCCTGGTTAGTCCATTTCAATTAAACCTCACGAAGGCCTTGAGTTGATATCCGCCTCGCACCATACAGACATACGATTACCTGTTGAACTTCAACCGAGAGGTTACCCTGATCTGGTACTCTCCATGGACATATACGAAGGTCCTGTACTTCATCGTACGATACCTACCATTTATCGATATCGTCTTTCTCCTCCGATGTATGTCTTTTTCTTCCTTCCTTCTGCATGGGAGCTAGCTCATTCGTACTAAACACCATGACGATAGTCCAACTAGTCCTTGGGCTGACGAAGGATGACTGTGGTTGGATATTCCCTGCGGTTTCTTGTGAGTAGTCTAACGGCTTTCATTGAATACGTACCTCACGATGATTATGATAGGGCTGACGACGGTTTCTACCTTCAGCGCAGAAGGTAAACACCTCTCCTCAACCTCACTCCCTATCATCGTTTCTGAGCACATCCTCGCAGTCATCATGATGATCCGAACATGGGCGGTATGGCAACGAGATAAGAGGATCGCGGCTGTGTTCGGCGCTCTGTGCTGTGCCTACATTGGGCTCGCGGTGAGCGGTAATATTGGGTTCGTCAACAGTATCATTTGTGCGTTATTTTATCTACGTCAGTCCGCTGTATGATATCTGATTTTTCTTCTTTTTTTTTTTAAAAAAAAAGTGGCGGACCCACCGTACCCGGGGTTCAGAGGCTGCTTGGTCTTGGGTGCTGCGAACAGTTTGACAAACACGTACATCACCTTGGTGGTCATGGAGTTCCGTACGTCTTGGAATCTATGTTTATGGACGCTCTGGCAGCTCATAAAAAGCGAATCTACAGTTGTCCTTTTTTTCACGGCCATAAGCGCCATACGAACATGTTCGTATTCACACTGTGATTTTTTCGGGCTTTTCTCAAAGACGATATACATAGTTAGGAAAGGAGGTATCGGGAATCGGCTGTCGCAGATCATTCATCGAGATGGTGCGTACTACGATTTATGCTAGGAGGAGATTGAAATTGAGTTCGGTCACAGGCATTCTCTTTTATCTTTATCTCCTAGGTTTGCCCCCTCCTCCCCATCCTGTGCATAAAATTCCAGGTGTTCATTCATGTTATGTATAGTCGGCTCCATCATGAATGTGATCTTCCTTATCGTCTCACCAGTACGTTGTCACTCCATTCTCTCACCTGCTCCTGCTCGTTCAGCTTCTCATCATCGGTCTTCTCTGGACACAGCTAGATCTCCACTTCAGTTTCGTCCCGTGAGTTCGAATTCTCGCACGCTTTACCCAATAAATGGACTGACATCGGTTTTGTTTTGTCTTCTAGAGTCTGTATGGCACTCTACTCGTCGCTCACGACCCGTGTGCTCCTTAACATTCGGGAAGTCGCGCGCGGGGGCCGTAGCCTAGAAAGTGGGGCTACGACGCAGTTGCATGATTATACTCTTCCGTTGGCGTTCCATTCGCGAACTCAGGATACTACTACAACGGAAACAAAATAGCGGGTTGTGCATGGATGAGGTTTAAATATTTATTGTAGGCCATTCTGGCAGGTGGATTTAGCATATTACTATCTCAGTATTTGTATGATTTTTTTTTCTTATCACAGGACAACGCAGGTTGTTGTGTTATATATGTACGATTTACTGCTTCTGCGGATTGTGGGAGGGAATTCCACTGAGTTGGCGAACTGGAGATAATTTCTGCTAATTACAGTACTATAGTCATCAACCGTTCAATGACACATTTGTATTGACTGGATAACATCCCTCACACATGGGCTTCTCAAAAACTAAATAGGACAAAATCTAATGAAGTATTTACACTAGACAATCTAGGGATTTAATTTTTTTTATCTTGCCTAGTTGTTGAGAGCTGTGGTTTTGGTTTAAACAGCCTCGAGGGTAATGGAATTGTTCAAGCCTGATCAAAAGTGATGAATAGACCTTTCAAGGACTTGAAGAGATTCTGTTGCTTCAAAAAAAGCACACTCATGTTGATGTAGTATCCCCTTACATTGATATCGAATTTCTAAGAGATGCGAGTAAAAATAATTAGTGGGGCTGGACTGTTTGTGTCATTGACCCAGCTGTGTCACTGGCATAGACCGGTTGATGACTGTATGCTAGAAAATCAACGGAGAGTATCACAAAATTGACAGACTAGTATTTAGGCGCGCTCCAACTCTTCATTTACTTAGGGCATGCCTTATTGATATTGTCATGGTCCTCCACCATGTAGCTCAAGTTGCGCCCCAAAAATTAAGGACATCAGTCGCTAAATTTGCACGAGCTGCCAGCGCTTTTCTGCGGGTTTCGTTGACTAAAGTAAACGAGACATTTTTTTCTGTGGTTAGCCGACCTTATTTGGGGTCCGTACTGTCCACTGGTAGTCAGTTCCAGGTCAGTTCCAGTGCCAAGAAAAAACTTCCCTGGTGATGCTGTTGGCGGTATTTTCATTGCGAGAAACATAGCACAATATTTCAAAGTAGGATAGCCAGAGCAAGTGCGACACTTTTTCCGGGCTTGAACATTGCGAGGGCAGGCTAATAATTCCGACATTCTTTCTTGTAATTGAAAATTTCCCTTTGCACAAAGTAAAAGGCAAGAAAAGTCATTTGTGATATTCCCGATCAGTTGAACAGATCCTTCGGCTTTCCTCTTGATTTTTCTCAATAGTCTGACAGTGCCAGACTTTCTCAAAATATTCTAATGGGTAATATTGGGTGTTGTAAATACCTGAGGTTGACCTGAGGCCCCAACGTCCCAAAAAGGTAAACATGCAGTCACACCCGAGGTAACGGATAATTTTCCACGTCAACAAATTCCTCCACCTTGCACCTCTCCTCCTCACTCCTTCTCTCCTTCCTCCCGTAAAGACAATGGCTTCCCTCGCAAGGCTTCGTCTGGCTCACAGACTCGTAAGTCCAAGTTGCTTTCATGATATCCAACACGGAATGCCGGACCCGGCTCTTCCCATATGCATCCCTCATCCATATTCACAAGCCAACTCACTCACTCTTCTACTTAGTCCCGTGCCGCCCGCCCACTCACCCGCTCAGTCCAAACCTCCGCCGACACAACCCAACTGCACTCCTCCCCCTCGGACCCCTCCCACCCATTCACCCTAAAACTCCACGAAGACTCCTTCCAGTCCTACCAATGCGACAAACCCGATTTAGAAGTCCAACTGACGAAGGACGAGTTACTTTTGATGTATAGGCAGATGCAGACGATGCGTAGGATGGAGATGGCGGCTGATGCCCTGTACAAGGCTAAGCTTATTCGTGGGTTTTGTCATTTGGCTATTGGTCAGGTTTGTGTTTTTCTCTTTTTCGTACTCTCTTTTCGACTGACACGCACGCAGGAAGCAGTCTCAGTCGGCCTGGAACACGGTATCCTCCCCAACGACAGGGTAATAACCGCCTACCGCTGCCACCCCTTCGCCGTCATGCGAGGCGGCACCATCAAAGGCGTCATAGGCGAGCTCCTAGGCCGACAAGACGGCATGTCCCACGGTAAAGGAGGGTCCATGCACATCTTCACTCCCACCTTTTTCGGAGGTAATGGGATTGTGGGTGCACAGGTGCCTATTGGTGCTGGCGTGGCGTTTGCGCAAAAGTATAGGGGGGAGAAGAATTGTACCTTTGCGCTTTATGGTGATGGCGCGAGTAATCAGGGTCAGGTGTTTGAGGCGTTTAATATGGTCGGTTGCTGGTTTTTTTTCTTCTTGGGTTTTTTTTTTTGTGATGGCGCTGACGTTCTGCATACAGGCAAAGTTGTGGAACCTACCGACTATCTTCGTCTGTGAAAATAATAGGTACGGAATGGGAACCTCGGCTGCCCGCAGCTCCTCCAATACCGAGTATTATACCCGTGGAGACAAGATTCCGGGCTTGCAGGTGGGTTTGTTTTTCCTGTCGTTTGATTTGCGGTTTTTGTTCCTTGGTGGATTTGACTTGTTGATTTCCGCCTTCTCGTCTTTTTCTGTTGCTGCCTGTCTTCTCCCGGTACCGTTTCCCCGTTATCGACTCCATAATCCTTATCGTCTTCTCCCTCCCACTTGATATTTCCGTTCCTTCACTTCTTCTCATCCCCATCCCACCACTTACCGCATATAGATCTTTAACCCGCTCCCCTATCTTTTTGTGTCCTCCTCGTCTTCCTTCACCAGCTTTCCTCCCCCCAAATTCATTTCCTTCGTAACCACATCCCTTTTTATCTTCCTCCTTCCTTCCTTTTTTGCCTTCTTCTCCCTCCTCAACCACCCTCCCTTATCGCCTTTGTTATCCCTCTTTCTCCTTATCGTTTCCCTCCCTCTCCTCATACTCTCTTCTTCCGTCTGTCGTCTTCCTTCAACCTGCCCCTCTCCTCCCTTTTATCCTACCCCGCCCTCTTCTTTTCGTCATTCTTCCCTTCCCCTTTCCCCCTCCCTCTCCTTCCTACCTGCCTCCCTCATCCTCCCTCATCTAACGCTGACCCTAACCCCCCCCCCCCCTCTCCCCAGGTCAACGGCATGGACATCATCGCGACCAAACAAGCCGTCGCTTACGCCCGCAAATGGGCCGTTGAAGATGATAAAGGCCCGCTTTTGCTAGAATTTGTGACCTATCGATATGGAGGGCATTCGTACGTGTTTTCTCTTGGTTGTTTTGGGGTTTTGGGTTTTGGTGGGCCTTTTTGGGTTTTGGCGCCCCCCCCCCCATGTTTTCAGGATTGCTTGCCCGATTTAATGGGGTTCTCTTGGGGTTGCTTGCCGTGGTGTTTTGTTTGCAAAGGCCATCTACTTGCTGGAGGGTTCTATTACCGGTTTTTGGGAGTTTCCTGCCATCTTTTCTTCACGTCTTTTGCTAGCACTCATCAACTTTCTTTCTTCCTTTCCACTCTGACCCCACTCCATTCTTACCCCCCCCCCCTCTTCGTTGCTCTTCCCTATATTCCCTAGGTATCCTTGTCGCCCTACCTCCTTCGCTTTCTGCTTTCCGTGCACCTTTCCTTTCTATCGTTGCCCATTCTTAATTCCGTATCCCTTGCTTCCTCTCTATACCTTTGTCTTCACCTGCTTTCCACCCTCCTTCGCCCCATATTACCTTTACCCATCTCTTCGCCTTTTGGTGTCCCTTTCTCCCACGTCCTCACACACAAATCTAACCTAACCCTCCTCGTCCCTACAGGATGTCCGACCCCGGAACCACTTACCGTACTCGCGAAGAGGTCCAGCGCATGAGGAGCACTCAAGACCCTATCCGCGGACTGCAGAAGTATATCGAGGAGTGGGGTATGGCTACTGAACAGGAACTTAAGGTATGTTTTGGGTGTCTTTTCCTTTTTATCGTTCGCTTCCTTTTTGTCTTTGTCCGCTTTCTCTTTTCTTTTCCCCACTTTCATTCGTCCCCATGCTCCCCTTGCTTCTTTCCTTTTTCCCTCACTCTGCCTTCCTTTCTTTTACTCCGCTTTCCCCTCGTTTCCTCCACCTTTTCTTCCTTCCTTCTTCTGCTTTCTTCCTTCCTCTTCTTTCCTTTACTTCCTTTCTTCCTCAGCTTTCCTCCCTGCCTTCCTTCACTTTGGAATGCATGGGGTTAGATGTTGGGCGTTAGGTTTTGGCCGTGTTTTTGACCTCCTCTCCCCTGCGTTTGTTGGGTTCTAGTGGTGCCCATGTGTTATGGGGTTGCCGTCTGTCCCTTCCCCACCTACCACTGCTTCAACGCGAGCGCGGGCGAGTCCTGCATTTTCCCCCTTCCTTCTCCCCTCCTACCCCGCCCACCAACCGACACTAAACCTTCTCCCCACAGGCTCTCGACAAAGCAGCCAAAGCCGAAGTTGACGCCGCCGTTGAAGAGGCCAAGGCTTCCCCTGAACCGCTCATTAAGGATCTCTGGACCGATATTTACTACAAGGGGACCGAGCCTCCTTATATGAGGGGTAGGGAGAGGGAGGAGGTACGCTTTTTTTTGGACTATGACACTATTGAGGGATTGGGCTGATGTTGACTCTTAGGTTCATGTTTACTAAACCTAGAATTCGGACTTGGTGGAGGTTCAGGACGTTGGGGCTTGAGGGGGGCGAGCGGAGGTTAGGTACTGTACTCTACGGCCATTTTCGTTGGCTTTTTGTTGCTCGTTGCTGTTTTTTCCTTCTTCTCGCCCTTTTTTGATACATACATAGATACTACCTGGTCGAGTCAATGTCTACCATGCATAAGATGGATTTGAGATGGATGGTCATTTGAGTGAACAAATCACGTGATGAGCAGTGTTGATTCCCCGCTACTTCCACTGCAGACGATTCTCCCTTGTTTGAATCTTTTTGTACAAGTGCAGAAGAAGGAAAGTTCCTCCCTTTTGAAGCTCCTCTTGTGCGTTCTTCTTGCTCCCTCCCAGAAATGTTGCTCTGATCTAGCTGATTCAGGGGTTACCAGCAATGCAAATTCCTCTTGTGCGTTTTTCTCGCTCTCTCGGACCTCGATAATAATGTATCTCTGACGTAGCTGATTTAGGGGTTACCAAACAATGCGAAGACATGCATGTCATACCTCGGAAACGATACACGTTGGTGCATTGGAAGTGGAAAGTGACTTCTGTCACCTCACTTTAATTTTCGTTGGACCGGCTCCGGAACTCTAATTTTGTTTGAGTGCATAGTGGGCTACCATGTACCCCCTGACGCGCCGACGGAAGCAGCAGATGAGCAATGTCATCTTCTTGACGAATAAGGCTGCAGCTGCTAGTTGTGCTGGTACGTGTTGAGGCCGAACCGTTTGGGAAGCTAACCCCTCTGCAGGTATTTAGTCATGTCGACATTCAAAAAATGGGTTAGGGTTAGAACGTTTGACTCTTGACATGAGATTGCCATTCTTCAAGTCGCTTTGATTGGCTGACGAAAATCTCAATTTATGGGCACAATTCATTGGGCAACAAACATTATCGGTACGCCCCTGCTTCTTATTCTCATTGATGTAATTTTTCACTCTGGGCTCTGTCCTCAATGTTCAGCCACCTCTGACTGTACTTGGAAAGGAAATGGAGGCCACGGCACGACTGCGTCAATCCTTCTTATGAAAGCTTACGAGTGCCCATTTAATTCTTGACAGTTCCGCACAGTTGCCGAAAGCTGCGCGAAGCCCTTTTTGCCCAAATGCCGTTATATTTTCCAAGCCAAAGTCTCGTTTGATCTTGTCCCAATCACTTCAAGCAATTGGCTGAACTACGACCGTAAGGTACCTTATCATTTTACCCCGCAGTGACGATGACGAAGGAAATGTAGGGGATTTTGCTCGCTAATGTAACTTCTCGCCCTCGCCTTTCCCCCTCAATCGCCGCTCGCATAGACCATCGAATACTACCTGGCCCAACCCTTGGTGGGACGTAATGTGATAACATAACCGTCGCGTGCCTTCCAGGCTCTGTGATTTACTTGTGATTTCCTTTCTTGTTTTGGGGAAATGATAGGCTAAAAATAAATTCAAAAACCTAGAAAACCTTTTGTTTCGGCAGCCTTTCCGGCGTAAATAAATGGGCGATCAGGCACCCCGTACCTTACTTAGGTCCCGATTAGGGTTGGTTTGCACGCCGCATCGCCGCTGCAAAATGGCCAAAGAAAATGCACAAGTGGCAACTGTCGATAAGTAAAGTCGCATCTGGTCGTCCAAGTAGTTATTTCTCAAGGAATCTTTTCAAGATGCGAAGGCTGAAAGTTGAAGAAACGAGTGCGAATGGCTGATATTACTTTTAGGTTGGCACGGTTGAAGGTCGGGCTTATTGAGGACAGCCCTGACGGAAAACACAGCTGGCATGAGCGCTGTTGAGGCTAGAGGCATACAATTAAAACCCAGCTTCCCACCGCCCACGACAAGGCTGGCGCAGGCCATCAACCCCGCCCGTCGACTCATCCCCCACCTTGCATCCTCCTCTTCCGCTTCCTCCCTTGGAGACCTCGTCCTATGGTACTCTATGCATTTAGTCGGCGGGCGCTGGAGTTGGTAGTCTGGGGCTTGACGAGTGTTGTCCTTGTGCAGAGTGTCATCACATCTTTCCTACCGCAGGTCCGTCGTTCATGCTCAGTCTATGAATTCTTGCCAAATTACCCCTTCTACAGTCCTTCTTTTTCGACTGGAACCTTCCTGGACAAACATACCCTATTCCCGTAACAGGTTCTCCCTAGCTTAAATGATCAGCACCAGAGCAGCTTCTTGACACCCCTCCTAGTTCAATGCGGAAACATCCATATCGTTTGGCAGCGAAGTACTGCAACAGGGTACGTTTGTTTGGCCTCTCCATTACCCATTTCCATGTCGATTTATGCGATTCATCCAGCCCGAACAACGTTGGCCCGTACTACCTTCAAATCTATACATCGTCAGTGAACAGCAACCTTTCGCCTCACCGCTCATCAACTAACACCACAACAGGATTTACATTGTTCCGATTATCATCCCCGTTGGGAACGTCCTGATTTACGTGAGTTGGAACTAACAATACTCTTGGATCGTGAGGTTCTGACTCCTCCTTAGGACTGGCAAGTCCCTTTCCCACCGGGCACCCTTGTAAGCACCATCCGTCCAAAGACTAGACATATTAAACATTCCGAATCTATAGTACCAAATATGCATGGTGAGTCTCCTGTTTTCCTATTCTCTTTCTAGTTTAAATCTTGAGCCCCAGTTCGACACAAACGGTAACACCGGAGGGTGTCAAGCCACGTACACAGTCATTGCTAATACAACAGTGACAACACCAACTTGTGCTAACGTTACATTCCCGCCCCTCCTTTCCATCGATGCCCAAGTTAATAATGGGCCGCTGTCGCAGGTTGGTTGGATCGATCAAGTCAGTCTCATTTGTAGCATCGGTGGTGAATCGAACCTTCTATTCTAACTCTCCTCTAAAGTGCAGCGACATTTCCATTACACCGAAAAACGGGACACCGCCATATTTGCTTACGGTTCGCTCGATTTTCCCTTCGGTCCACTCCATCCACCGATAATCTGTTTTTACAGATTGCCCCTGCCCTACACCCACCGTACAACATTAGTAGCCCAGACATGCGGAGCATCAATTGGACAGTCAGTTTGTCATGGGCATCACCGTTCTTTATCAGTGTCGTCGATTCAGCTGGGAATATGTGGGCGAATGGCCTCCTGCACAGTGGTCAAGGAAGCAGTTCTGCTTGTCTTGCGGGGAACACTACCAGTACTGGGTGAGTAGTACCATGAATCTCATATCCTCCTTACTTAAGGACAAATCTATAGCTCCAGCACAGTCAAATCAGTCGTAGCCATCGGTTCTGGTGTCGGCGGACTGGCTCTCGGCCTCTTCATTGGAGTCTTAACGGCTTTCTTTTTCTTGAGGCGGCACTACAAGAAGAAGGATCAACGTCGATCCGTATATATGGCAGATTCAATGCCAAATTCTCCTCATGCGTTGCTCGATCCTCCGACTACGATGGGAACCTCTTCGCAGTATGCGCCTATACCATTTGGAAATGTTGCGGATACTTCGTTGGGAAGCAGTAACCCCTCGTCTGCAAGTAATTACATGGGTCGCTCATCGGGCTACGCTGTCGAACCTTTCGTAATGCCAGGGGAAGATGGCCGTCGTAGCGAACTCCCTTCCGGACCTGGTCGTGCACTTTCCGCTGGCAGTACTTCACATGCGCCGCAAAACCAAGTCTATGTCGTACACCACGATAGCCAAGCACCCCCTGTTACTATCTATCATGAAGATGGTACACAGGTCGTCGAATTGCCACCCAGGTATCTTGCTGGAGCTTCCTCTCCAACGAGTGCACGAAGCGTAAGCGATACCAGAAGCGACGGAGGACGGACGGAATCAACTTCGGAGCCACCGTCATTCCTTCGGGAGCATCGAAGGCCAACTACGGTCAAGAAGCCCGCCAAGGAAACCATCTATTTGAGCAACCCAACAACGTAGCGTTGTTCCCCCCGCACCACTCGCACCACCCCCTGACCTACTTGTTCACTGTGGTGCTTTTCCGGAGACGAACATAGTACACACTTTCCATCAAATGCTTTCTTTTGTATCACTTCCGGCACCTTTTGAGTAGGATAAAATTCTCTGGGTCACATACAATAGTATTTATTTACTCAACTTCAATTCCTTCCTTTGATCCTCGATTGTAATCTGATACCACCATCTCTATGGTTCATTTTGATATTCTCCAAGGTTTGATTTATTTGCAACCTATTCTCAAGGTATCATTATTAGCCCGGGTCTACCTGACCAAATCCGAGGAAAAATCTCACTTTTATATGGAGTCTTCATCGAGTCAGACTTCGTCAGACAAAAGGGGTGACGTCGTGAAATGGCCGACAACGCATGATGATCCTCTTGAACTTGAGGCGTGGTACTACGGAAAATTTAAAGAGTCGCTATCGTTGCAAGTAAAAATAAATCGTGCCATCTCCCATTTTCTCTCTCAGTTAAAGAATTCAAAAGCGCGAAGACCATTGACTTCGATTGACTCTATCAGGGAGCCGAAAGTGAAACGTCGGTAAAGCCATACAAACAAAAAATGAGTATAAAGCTAGCGTAAGTTCTGCTCTTGCAGTGCTGCATAGTCACGTATTTATCCGTCATGCCTGTAACATTCCACCCCAGCAACATTCCTGCACAATCTTTTACAAAAACATCTAGGGCTTACTCGGCGGAAGGACTCCTGGCCGCCGCCTGCCCCAATCAACGCGCGCAATGCGATGAAATTCTCAAATCCTCTTTCTCCGAGACTGATAACGGAGACATCCTACCCAAAACCAACGGCTTCGTCCACACGGTCGTAGAAGCTTACAATAACCACCGTTGCTTGATTATCCGCCCGGACGACGTCTGGGCCGCCATCCTCGTTCAGTTGAGTTTCTACATTAATGCACACGGCGAAAAATTCCGTTCCGTGTTCGTCTCCCATGAAGGGAAGAAGATGCTCAGTCACCTCGCCAAAGACTTTAGAATCGACGGAATTTGGTGACATGGCCGTAGCTATGACCAACGAAATTATAAAGAACGTGAACGATCCCGCTCTGCGCGATTGGATCCTTCCTCAATTCACGACAACCCCGACTGACACGGTCGTCTTCTCCGTGCTTATGATGGCGACGATGAAGACATACTTCACTTACCGTTTTATGTTCGGTTGTGGTCTGCCACGGGTGACGCTCGAAGGCGAAAAATCAGACTGGGAAATTATTCTTGAAAGATTGGAAAGGCTCAAGGAGTACGGGTTACAGACCATCGCTTGGTATCACTTACTCAAACCGGTTATTTCGAATTTCGTACGGGCATTTGAGGATCCGAAGGGCGCTGAGAATCTCGATTTTTGGAACCGTATTTGTAGTTCTAAGCATAGGGGGAGCGGCGCATCGTATCTCGCGGGGTGGGTTACTGCCTTTTGTGCTTTCAAAGAAAACGGCGATTGGATTGGACAGAATTTAAATTGGGGGGTAGGTTTTCTATTATGCTGAGGTTAAGAATCGAGTTGACCTCTACATTCTCAAGCTCGTCAATGAGGTTGATCCCGCGACGCTTTCTGCAGAAGATTTTTTCAGGATTTATGGAAACGCGGCCGGCGCACACCTGTCTTCACTCGTGATAGACGGCACCCGGTACCATGAGGTCGATAACAAGAAAATCCCGTCTGGATTTGCCGAAGTTGACGTCCTCGTCGAGAGTATGTTGAAGTGCAAGATGACCGTCGGCTTGATTGGGTTGCAGATATGTTCTAGCGGTGATAAACAAAAGGCCAAATCTGGGCAGAGAGATACTGTCAAACCCGTTTCGGGTTGGTGGTTATTCTCAAAAATCGTAAAGAATGCAAATGAGCAGGAATAGATACGTGTAGTTGTCAACCGTGATTTGAGGGCTTCAATTGTGTAGATAAAATTGGCCCATGGATCTTTATAAAATTGGATTCATGAGCCGTTGACGAGTTAATTCCAGACGAGGAGAATTATTCTGGTGGCAAATCGAGCCTACATTTTTTCAACACCTGTACAGCTGTGAAGATCAAAGTTTTTGATGCAGCCTATCCTACACGAGGGTCTTCTCCGATATTCTGCAGCGCCTCCAATTCTAATGTAAGGTCGTCCCCAAGTAATTCACCTTTTATGTCGATGAGTGCCCGTTCAAGCTTAGGCGCCCCCGCCTCACCTCGAAGACGAGCAGTTAGCATCTGAGCAAGCCCACCCGACGTCTGGGAACTCTGTAGAACCAATTGCCATAACCGCGGAAAGCAATGGTGCTTCTGCCCAACTGCTGGAGCCCCGTCACCACTTCTTCGGAAACGTCGCCATGGATTAATCCTTCAAGTTATTTCGTTTGTGGAGATACAATAAATTGAGCTTGGTGTTTAGCGCCACGGCGCGAAGGTGGAATGCTGACGGAGAGCAGGAAGACCGCCATAGAAGCCCCCTCAAAGCACACACGTCGAGATCTTCGGGGCCTAGATAAAGCGTCAAGAACTTCGAAGCGGGAACGTCAAGCAGTTGAAGACGTCGTTAATGCTGGTTTCTGCATGCAGATTCAGCCAATGGAATTTTGAAAGCCAAATCTGTGTGGATCAGGCCGACATGTCGGTTGGTAAATAGATTCGTAAGGTTTAATTTGAAAGCACTGCTTGAAAAAATCGTGTAACATGTTGATGTCGGCTCTACCACGAGATACAGCACTATAAACCTTCGCCAGAGAATGAGGCCCGGTAATGGCAGGCAAAATAACACGGGCGTGCACGTTGGTGTGAGTTAGCTTCGGTGACAGGTGAATCACCCTCCAGATCCTATACACTCCAAGCGCGCTTGCTTTACCGATCCGGAAAATCGAGAGTTCCATGCGAGAGTGTTGAGAATTGGTGTGATTTCATATTAAGCAGGCAAGGCAGAGGATCTTCAAACAAGATCAACTTCCAGCGTCAGCGATGGTTCAATAGCAGAGACATAATCCCGTCCGTAGCTTCCTGTTCTTGCTGGTCATGGTTTGTTGATTGTTTTGAACTGAGGGCCAAGGCTGCTTGTTTAGGTCGTTCGAGCATAAAATTGATTATGCGAACGTCGCTACGAGTGGGTCTGCGGATGTTGACAGTAGACCATAGTAGTGTAGCACCAGCTCTCCAGTGTCCACATACCTGGCCAAGAATTCTCGGACTGGCCAGATGTTCGTCGTAGACGGAAAGGAAGCTGGAATTTTCCGAGTCTGGGAGTGGCATTTCGCGCAGCTCGATGAACTGCATACAGTAAGTACTTTTGTCAAAAATTCAGTGGGTAGTCGAGCAGGATAGTTAGGGAAATTTTTGATGATCTGCGTTCGATGTTGAGAGGAACCGGTTTATCAACGGCTCTCTGAGGCGGTGACCGTGACCTCTTGCTTAACCGTAGGAGGCGGGGACGCACTGAGATGGTTTGAGCTACGTAGCTAAGCGCTTAGATGCACGCTCAATAGTGCGGCCCGAATTTTGTTCGGAAGCAACGCCTTTGTGTGCTTGTTTTCCTTCCTTCTTTCTGTATTTCGCTTGCATAATGTGGGCGGTCGCTGGTGAAATAAATAGGCCAAATTTGAGAGGAAACTTGATTCAAGTGAGAGGAAGTGAAGAAAGAAGCGATGCGGCACGTGACGAATTGGTCTTTCATCAATTTCAAATTTCAACTTGATGCGAATCGCCCTTTGTAAAGTACTTGCATCCACGCTGCCAGTCAAAGAACACCAATATGGATACATTTCCAGACGAGATATGGATGTCCATATTTTCAGAAGCTTGCATCGACGACGGCACTACGGGACGCTGGCTGGAACTCGTTTCAAAAGACTTTCAACGATTATCAAAACCATTCAAATACCAATCGATTTGCTTGCGCAGAGCGAAGCAAATCATCACGTTCGATTCGATCGTGAAGAGGCTCCCTCCTGGGTTCAATGACGTCCAATATCTTCACATCACATGGCCCAACCCCTTCCTCGATGTTTCCGATGATGAAAGTGATGACGTTTACGTGGATAGCACGGACGATGAAACTGCGTGGACCGACGTCGATTCTGATGACGATGGTGCCACACCTTCCAGTAGTGAAAGTGATGGCGAGGAGGGTTTCGACACTACCTCAAACGGTAGCAGCGACTCAGAGGGCGATGAATATGAACCTCTCACCTTGGAAGAAGAACAGGAGATGATTGCGGATGCCGAATTCGTTATGGATCGGGGAGATCTAGACACACCAGTCGAGATCATGGCCGGTTGCTTTTACAGTTATCCTGCCGAGTTGGCTCGCGGAAATCAGGATATCCAAAAGGCCATACATGGCATACTTGCAGCTATCGCATCTTCGTTGCGCATCCTGAGCATCCACTCGGCGAATGGCCAAGACCCCATGTCTATCGCAGAACTGATCCCATTTCCGCTGCCCGTTCTTTCAGGCCTATTTCTTTGCTCTCTATCAGGCTGCCCTTCAAAGTGTATGCCCCCGCGCATTTTCCCCCGATCCCGCCATACCCCCTCCCTCGCTCCGCAATTCAGCCAATTGCAATTTCCATCATTGACACAGGCGCATATCGCTGGATTTGTATGGCCTGAGCCCCCGTACATTGTAATAAACACTATCTCGCCTCAGTTGAGGCACTTGCGCCTGCAGCGAAATCACTTGAAGTACGGGCTTCAAATCATCGATATTTGCTCTATTTTGTTGACAACGAACTAACAGCTGGCGTGCTCCGAGTTCTTGGGAAAATAGGCCGAAGAGGTCAAGCCTTTTCCTCTATGTTGACTCACCCACCCGAACGCCGGCCGCCAGAGAGGCAGTAGACATATGGAAGAATGCGAGAGAGCTTGAAGATCATTCGACGTTCGCCAGCCTCATCGGCATGGAGTCACCAGAGGATTATTTACCTGAAAGGTGGGAGAGGAGATGGTGTACACAAACACGCGGCCGATTAGACGTTTCTGAGTGGTTTGCGGGTGACAATCGCTTCGATGTAGATCTTGAGACGGGAGCCCGCAAAACTAGCTAACTTGACGAGGGTGATGCGAACGGAATACATACGATCTGTTCACTACAGTGAAAGGCAACCGTAGATACCTATGCTTTAAAGTACCAGTGGAAGCAAAATACAGCAACGAACTCACAGATAATTTTTGGATCACAAAAACCAAGAGTCATATGTGAAAGCTTCAAACTCTGGTATACTTCTGCGCGTCCGGATTGTGTCGGGACGCGTCGAGGCTTGACGCGTTCCACGACCGGCGTTTGCCGGTTCAGGGTCATTGAATAATCAGACCGAAATGGGACCACTCAGAAAAATCAGAGATGGTCATATAACACGTACTCCACACAAATCCTCCTCACCGACCTCGACGACCTCAACGTCGCCATCCAATGACATCCTCAAACGCGTACGACGTGCTCATCGTCGGTGCCGGCATAGCTGGCTGTTCTCTCGCCCATGGACTATCCACCATCCCTCGCTCAAAACCCCTCCGAATATGTCTCCTCGAACGCTCGCTTTCCGAGCCAGATAGGATTGTGGGCGAGCTCTTGCAGCCCGGGGGCGTCATGGCTTTGCGGAAACTGGGGATCGAGAAGTGTCTGGAAGGAATTGACGCCATACCCGTGAAAGGGTACTGTGTAGTGGAGGAAGGCAAGTCCGTGGAAATACCCTATCCGGGACGACATGAAGGACGGAGCTTTCATCATGGGAGATTCATCATGGCGTTACGCGCTGCAGCCAAGGAGGCGAAGGGGGTGGACGTTGTCGAAGCAACTGTGACGGAGCTCGTTGAGCAAAATGGTCGGGTGGTTGGCGTGAAAGCCACAAAGCAGGGAGAGAAGGAAGAGTACAGAGCCGACCTCGTCGTCGTCGCTGACGGGTGTTTCTCCAACTTCCGCACGGCGGTTATGGGTTCTTCCACTGGAAAGTCGATAACAAGGAGCCATTTCGTTGGTGCCATACTAGAAGATGCGTCGCTGCCCATTCCCAACCACGGTACCGTCGCGCTGGTGAAAGGTTTCGGCCCCGTGTTGCTCTATCAAATTGGAGAACACGACACGCGGATACTCATTGATGTAAAAGCGCCCCTGCCTCCCGATATCAAGTCTCACATCCTCGACAACATCGTACCCCAACTCCCTCCTATCCTCCAACAACCTATACGAACCGCTCTGGACAAAGACCGCTTACGACGCATGCCCAACTCCTTCCTTCCTGCCGTGTCACAGGGCACCACTACGAAACCTGGTGTCTTCCTACTCGGAGACTCATGGAACATGCGGCACCCACTCACTGGGGGAGGTATGACTGTAGCTCTGAACGACGTAGTCATCCTGCGGTCACTACTGGCCAACGTCGACCTGCGACAATGGTCGGAGGTACAAAAGGTGTTACAGACGTGGCACTGGAGTCGGAAACCGCTCGCATCGACCGTGAACATCCTCAGTGTGGCGCTGTACGACCTTTTTGGCGCGGACGACGAGGAGCTCAAGGTTCTTCGGACGGGGTGCTTCAAGTATTTTGAACGTGGCGGGGAATGTGTTAATGGGCCTGTATCGTTACTTTCTGGGTACGTCTTCGTTCTCTGACGTGTGCCTACACTCTGTGGGGCTAACCACCCACCCAACTAGCATCGCACCGTCACCCCTCCTCCTCGCAAGCCACTTTTTCGCAGTCGCGTTTTACTCTATCTGGGTCATGTTCACCCACCCCGCGCAGGTCGGTACAATCAAAGGTCAACCTGTATACGCACGGCCTCTTCTGCATCACTACCCAGCTCTCTTCTTTAAGGGTATTCGTGTTGTAAGTCTCTTCTCTTTTCTATGCATACTTCGTCATAACCCCACCACACAGTTCTGGACAGCATGCGTGGTTTTTGGTCCCCTTCTCTGGTCCGAAATTAGGTGGTGGGGACCAGGGGACAGCATAAAGTCGTCGTTGACGATCGCGGGGTTGCCTGTCGTTCTTGGGCTGGTAGCGATTGGGTGGATGGTGTATGGCGCTGTTGAGGCTCTAGGGTGACCTCTTATTTATCGTAAAAATTATTATAGACGGCCCCTTTGGTCTGGGACTGAAAGCAGTAGTTAGATAATTATACCGTTCTTATTTTCGCCCCGCCCAGGAAAAAGTAAACTTGCTTGTTCACAGAGACGGACCTCTGCGATTGTTGGGGACATGTGACACGCGTACTATTATATTATAATTCTGACTGCGACTACGGTCATGGACACAATGTTTTGATGAATGCTAGCGCGATGTACCCTTTTGCGTTTCACACTGTAAAGCAAGATATTCTTCCCAATTGGAAAGGGAAAACGAAGCGGCACAAGGAATTTGGTTAAAACAACAGTGTGAACGTTTTCAATCCCTACCTAAAAAACAATGCAAAAATTATCTTGCCATGGTAGAACGTTCAACTTCAACTTGTATGAACGGGAAGGCGATGCCAGTATTAGACCTTGTCACGATATACAGTGAAAGTTGTCAACGCTATTTACGATGTAACCCTTGTAATAACGTCAGCAAATGAAGTGTAGGCCGTCATTGCAAGGGTATTTGAGAAGGGGGACACCTGATCTATGTCCATATCGTAACTCACGGCGACGCCAGCCTCCTTGATCCGCTTTTCAAAATAAGCGACGGTAACATAGTCGACCATCACCTGATACCGGTCTCCGTTGTCGTAAATAACGATGGTCGGATTTGGCTCTTTGAAGAAAAGTCCTTTCATCGGCATTCTCTCCTCCCGGCCCCATTGATTGTTACTAAAATGGTTGAAAAGAATAGAATTCTCGTTCGGACGAATGCTGAAATGGACATAGTTGTTCGATGCATCGAGAATATTTATCCAAACTCGGACACCTCCTTTACGAGAGCGGCAAGAATCCATGTTCAAGCCGGAAGATTGAAATATGAGAACCCCGCCTGCCTTTAATGGCGCTTCCAATCTTATAGTTTCGTAGATCGGTAGGAGGTAAAAGTTCTTGCCATTGTTCTGAGAGTGTCTGTCGGCATTATCGAAAACCATGAAGGATCGCAATGTCCAGGAACTAACAGACAGGTCAAAACTGGTATCAGGATAACATCGTCAGGCTATTCACTCACCCAGTGTGATATCAGGTTTTAGTAGGCGATGGGATGTACGAACTACTGCCACGGGATCATCTTGATCGTTACCCAGATAGGCATCTTCAGTCAGAGATAGAGTAGCATCCGTGCTCATGGGGACCTCGCTAGCGACATCCTTGAAGATTTGAATTTCTTCAGTATCTGGAACGACAAGGCCTTCTATCCTTGCGATACATGCCGTCAAAGAGGCAATGGTGTGTGGAGGAGGAACAGAAAACGTGTCAATGCGTCCCAAGTAGATATCGCTCTCATCAAAACATGTTTTCGACTTGATCGCACCCTCTAGTGAATAAGGGCGATAGTAGACTGTAATAAAGATAAGAAAATCTCGAAGAATGGAGGTTGTTCCTCACTATAGCGAGTTATTCTGAAGTCAGAAAGGTCCCGGGCCCGCTCTGCCACCTGCGATTGCTGGACAGTACCAGCTCGCTCCTGACCCTCGAGAACTAACGCCATTGGCTCCTGTGGAGATGACCCTGGTCCTGAGGATGCCACAAGCGAAAGCCGTGCAGAGTCGTCTTTAGCAGTTAAACAGGAGAGGGGCACGAACAACTTTGCTGTGTCTGCAAGTGAAGACGAGAATCCTTCGATGTAGCACAGGTGCCTCTTAAGGGACGCAGTTGTATGTGGAGGTGCCACAAGCTTTGCAAGAGTGCGACCGATGAATGGCTCATGATCGCTGGAGTAGGCCGGATGTTGAGATTTTATGGGCCTGTCTTTGGTGTACAAACGGTAGTAAACTGTTCCTCTGGGGATGAGCATTTTTCCCAAGGAATTTGATTGCACCGCACCATATTGAGGGCTTTTCTTGGTCGACACCCCTGTAGGGTCTGGGGGCTGCAATCAAATTAAGTCTGGTAAACTGGTGAAGACTACTTTTATGCTCACCTGATTCTGATCATCCCCGATGCTCCGATGCGGGAATTGGTTGTTGGGAATTGGCGGCATGGTAGAACCTGTCATGAGGGAGGCGTCTAACTGGGACAAGAACGACTCGGAGTACTTAAGTCAAGAGGTTGGCGGCGGCGCCAATATGCAGTAGAACGTCACGCGCACGGACCTCCGGATCCCACAAGGCTTTTCATCGTCGTCAATGGACCGCCATATCCGTAGCCGTTGGACCCACCTTCGTCATTGTCAAACCCAGTCTTGTTTTCATCAACCCGCTGGCTATCGGTGACAGTCCCGTTGTGGCCGGTTGGTTCTGAATTGGGATTAAGAGGGTGAAGTTGAAGTGGCGCGTTAACAGTGCTTGATTGAAGGTTGTCATAGACGTGGTATTCAATCCCCCTTCTAAAGAACAATGATAATTATCTTATGATATTTTGAAACCAAAATCCTCAGGCCAGTGAGATCCAGCTAAATAGTCAACGCTCTGTACGATGTGACCCTTGTGATAACGTCAGCAAATGAAGTGTAGGCCGTCATTGCAGCAGATTGGAATATGAGTACTCCGTTGGCCTTAAATGGCGCTTCCAGTCTTATAGTTTCGTGGATGGGCAGGAGGTAAAACTCCTTGCCATTGTTCTTGTCTGGACGGAGAGTGTTTGTCGGCATTATTGAAAACCATGAAGGGTCGCAATGTCCAGGAACTAACAGACAGGTCAAAACTGGTATCAGGATAACATCGTCAGGCTATTCACTCACCCAGTGTGATATCGGTGTTTTGTAGGCGATGGGGCGTATGAACCACTGCCACGGGATCATCTTCATCATTTCCCAGATAGGCATCCTCAGTGAGAGATAGAGTAGCATCCGTCCTCATGGGGACCTCGCTGGCGGCATCCTTGAAGATTTGGATTTCTTTAGTATCTTGAACGACAAGGCCTTCTATCCTGGCGATACACGCCGTCAAAGAGGCAATGGTGTGTGGAGGAGGAACAGAAACCGTGTCAATGCATCCCAAGTAGATATCGCTTTCATCGAAGCATGTTTTCGACTTGATCGCACCCTCTAGTGAATAAGGGCGATAGTAGACTGTAATAAAAGATAAGGAAATCTCGAAGAATGGAGGATATTCCTCACTATAGCGATTTTTTCCAAAGTCGGAAATATCCCGCTCTGCCAAAGGCAATTGGTGGACAGCACCCTGAGCTCTTTCCTGACCCCCAAGAACTAACGCCATTGGCTCCTGTGGAGATAACCCTGGTCCCGATGATCCCACAAGCGAAAGCCGTGCAGAGTCGTCTTTAGCGGTTAAGCAGGAGAGAGGCACGAACAACTTTGCTGTGTCTGCCAGTGAAGACAAGAATCCTTCGATGTAGCACAGGTGCCTCTTAATGGACACAGTAGTATGTGGAGGTGCCACAAGTTTTGCAAGAGTGCGACCGATGAACGGCTCGTGATCGGTAGAGTAGACCGGATGCTGAGATTTTATGGGCCCGTCTTTGGTGTACAAACGGTAGTAAACTGTTCCTCCGAAGCGAGGTTGAGTATTCCGTTCAAAAGAATTTGGTTCCACTGCACCATATTGAGAGCTTTTCTTGGTCGACACCCCTGATATCTGCAGATTACGCTGCAGTCAAATTAAGTCACCTAAACTAGTTAAAACTACTCTTATGCTCACCGGATCCTGGCCATCGCGATGGAGGGTTCGACCATCCCTGATGCTCTGATGCCCGATGCTCCGATGCGGGGATTGGGTGTTGGGAAATGGCGGCGTAGCAGAACCCGTCATGACGGAGATGTCCAGCTGAGACAAGAGTGAGTAAGTCAAGGGAGGTTAGCGCCAATATGTGGTTATACCAGTTATACCATGCCAATCACGTCACTGCGCGTTCCAACTTCAATCACCATCTTATCGCCACCTCACTGTCTCGACGCGGTTACGCGTACCATACCTCACGTTCATTCCTTCCACCCACGAACTCCTACTTATTTCCAATCCATTGATACATGTTCCCCCCGGGTATGCTTCTCAAAGCCGAGTATGAAGAGTGTCGTGAGTCACGGATACAAAAAGGTATTTCCTTCAATTATGTTGGTCGCTGGGGTTCGTTCACGGGAGTACGCTCGATTTCTGAGGGGAAGCCAGGATCGGCACTAACTGAGGTGTTGAAATGAGTATTTACAATTGTGGTTGTGATTTTGGGTTAGCTGAGGTTCCGACCTTCGCCGTGTAATGATGCGGCCCCAGGTCCAGGACGGTATGTGAGCTTGCCCCACGTATTGATACTTCTAGAAACTAGCGCGTTCAATTATCATACATCGATGCTTGGACCATACCGTATATATGCTACGTAGTTGATAGACCGGTGACCGTTCTGTATATGAGAAGTACCAGTTATCATATACAGGCTGGTCACGAGCCTACGTAGTTGAGGATTGTTTGAGGAAGAAGAAGCGGCAAACAAGCGCGCTTGCCGTTTCGGGAAAGATGAATCCCCAAATGTCACGTGCACGGTGCACGACCCTCACCAAGGCGTTTCCTGGTTATCCATACCCGTCAGTGGACCGCCATATCCATAGCTGTTGGAATTCCCCCACCTTCATCGATTCATCATTGTCAAACCCACTTTGTGCAGCTCTCTGACCTTGCACCGCCGTTTGGTCTATCATCCGCATCGCCATGGGATGATGTCTCCCGTCGCCATTTTTCGCCTTCCCATTCCAAGTTTCTGCTAGTACACCAATCGCCATCGGATTCTAACCACCTAATTGCTGTTGGACTTGGTCACTATTAGATCCAATCTCTTCCTAAAACCGCCCGACGTTAGATTTTAGATCGTCTTCCACTTGTGCTACTCGTGGATGCTGTCAGGTTTGTCACTTAACAATGTTACGGCGCCTTGTTTTCATCAGCCCGCTGGCGGTTGGTGACAGTCCCGTTGTCGTCGGTTCGTTCTGGATTGGATATTCCCCGTTATGCACCCATGGCGAAACGCTATGTACAGGTCCGCGTTTCTGTCTGGCGGTGTTCCTTTCCACATCCAAAGTGTCAGGACGTGGTGTGACATTTCGAGATGCCGGCGGGGGAAGATGTTTCTAGGGTTACGCGTCCATCCTGGCGACAATGGGTCCTATGTAAGCATCATCTTGTTTAATGAACTGAAGGAGAAACCTTTGGGTTTTTTTCTCTAAACCTTTGTTGTTTTGTCAGGAAATGTCAGCCCTTGTGCGTAGACGTCTACAACATTGCAGCCTGGTTGAGGAAAATGAATACCTACGTAGTAGGCCTTGAAACACAATTGTTTCGTATACCTTGCTCAATTTTATTACCCGCCCGACTACAAATTTAGTTCTGCTTCAATTTACTGGCGCGCTGATGTCTGGAAGCCCGGTATATATGTATATGTTGCCCTTCTTGAAATGAAAATTTGTTCCTAGAAGTCCCCATTCCATCGGGGACCAAAACAGTAGTCGGCGACTCCAGCATTATGCTGCCGAAGCATCACGGAATCCCCTAGTAAAAGGCGAGGGGATTGTCTGCTTGATGCTTCGGCTGCTGCTTATAATTGTTAGGTTTGTTGCAGTACCCATCAAAGTGGTTTTGAATTTTGTTCAGCTGGCGGGGTTAACACGTGACGCTGCCCATCGCGCGCCAAGCTCTGTTCTCTCTTGTTCGCTCACCGCCATTTCCACGACTGATTGGAAGGAAAATCAATGGCGTCGACGCTTACCGCCGAAGAGAGGACCAAGCTCATTGAGGGCGCTTTTGAGGGTACGTTACCCAGTACCAATGCAAGGGGATCAACCTCAATTCTTATCGAACTTTCTTCAGCCAAGAAATATTCATATAGCCCCTACTCCAAATTCCCCGTAGGAGCTGCACTATTGGCTAAGGACGGTAGTATTATCAAAGGTGCGAACGTTGAGAATGCCTCGTATGGTATGTAAGCCTGTAATTGCGGATGCTGGCCACGTCCGACGCCTGTTTAGGTGGGACGATCTGCGCTGAACGGACAGCGATCGTCAAAGCAGTTGTAAGTCGAGTTCCCAATCTATCCCTATAGTCTATCTATACCTAACGAGGTTCCTTAGAGCGAAGGCATCCGAGAATTCATAGGACTCGCAGTCGTCACGCAAGTCCCTCCTACACCCTCGAGTCCAACCAACAACTTATTCTCCCCTCTGTTTCTTGCCCATACTAGGAATGTCGGCTCAGCCATATCACCATGTGGCATATGCCGCCAAGTAATCCGCGAGTTCTGCTCCCTCGACATGCCCATCCTCCTCGTCCCAGGGGATTATCCACAACCACCAGCGCCCGGCTCTGGGTACAGCGAGGGAGGCGTGAAAGAGACGACATTAGGCATCTTATTGCCTGATAGTTTTGGCCCGGAGCATCTGGAGTTGCCTCGTAAATCGTAAATGAGGGTATGGGGGTAAGTTCGGCGCTAATAGTTCGATCATCGATCGTGTTGCAGAAAAATCAATCTAAATGGATGACTACTTTTCCCGAGGGATCGCCAACTTTCAGCAACTTCCAAGTTGGCTCGGATCATCTGGATTTTTTGGTTGTCTTCTTGGGTCGTTTCTGATGTTTAGTTGCCAACCATCTCTGGATCAAGAGTGTCGTCACGCGCAAACCTGACTAGCTTGTTTCAGAGAGGTGCACATTCTGTTGCTACACTACCATTTCCCTTTATTGTGCATTCTTTGATTCACGTATCTAATCCAAGTCTAGATGAATGTCGATACTCATCGACCTCCTGGCAAGTCCTTCCGATTGTCGGTCTTTGATCACTCTAACAAGGCCCGTTGGTCTACGTATTCTAGATCAACTCCCTAGTTTCCATCGCCAACCGGCGGCACAGTCCCATGCTTTAGGTGATCTCATTTGCCATTCCGATGATGTTGCGCTTGACTTCCTCAAAGCTGAGCCCAAAGAGATTTCAGCGACACTGAGTTGACCGTGTCCAGTACGTAAGATATCGATTTCTGATGATCATTTCGACTCATAATCCACCTTTTCGAGAGAGGCTGTGTTTTTCAGCCCCGCTCTGTTCCCCCAAGGACTCAAGTCTTCATAAAGCATCTATTCCTGGAGAGACGCGGGGGATGCGCTATGTCGTTTCCCTCAAACGCTGCGCCTATATCATTCCAGGCTGAATGGCCTTCATCCTCAAGATTACGGATTGTAATAGCCTCGAGATTTAGCGGTCAGGCCACTATTTCTAGCCCACCGGGAATGGTATCCGAAACCGAGCGCTCGGATCTCAAAACGCTGGTACGGCTGCTCGTGTCAACTTTTTAAGATCCTCGAGGCTTTGGGGTTTGACCCTAGATTTCCAAAAGATACCTGTCGTGTCTTAAACTCGCGAGTGAGTCAGGTGAGTATTTGTACCGCGTTTTGCTCATGATGTATAGTACTGCCACAGATACCGACGGTGGCTTTGACGTTGGCGACGAGTATTCAACACATTTGGAATCTGATAACTTTTGAAAATGCAGATATGGCGAACGTCAGTGATTCCATTTTTAGATGTTCCATTCCGTCCCTATTGTACCCCGAGTACTGAAACGTGATCCAGGCAAGGAAATTATGATATCGTGGGGAATGCGTTCTCATGAATCACCTTCAATAATAGCTGTTGTAGTCGAACCTCAAGTTGGGAATAGGGCATGGCTGTTTCCCCTCTACCACCGATAAAACTCTCAAGAACGATTATTAATGATATCCACAACGTGTAGTGCGTCTTCCACCCTTAATCCGAGAAATTTCCGCTATTGAAGGAAAAATTTAGAACTTCCACAGTATCACCACCCTCACCGCGGGGTGCGGAGAGCCTTCTTTTTTCTTCCCTTCTCTTCTCCTCTGCAACCGTCTACCATCATCGACCCCTGACAAGTTTCTTGTGCGTTATTAACATACCTGAACACCTCAAAGAATCTCTGGTTGATCCCCATTCGTTATCCCGTCCCCGCCATGGCAGAGAAACACTGTCCACCAGCACTCATCAAATACACGCTCTTTTCAACACTCGCCTCCATCGCAATCCTGGTTCTCTCTATCCTTTCCTACTGCACTCTAGCATTATGGGCCAACATAGCTGCCTCCACTCTCGCTTTAATTTTCCACTCCGCCATCCTCTTTTTCAGTTGGCGTCGGTCGATGGATGACCAATCCTTAGTGCACAGGATGCACATCGCGTACTCCTCGAAAACCCTCATGGCCTCCGCCGTCGTGTTGTTTGTGTGGTTGGCTTCTCTTGGGAGCTCCATCGAACAGGTTGTAAATCAGCGCACTGATCGTCTGCTACTCCCTGTCAAAAGAGGACCGGGAAAAATGGAGATGCAGATCACAGTAACTGGTCTGATCTTTGTGGAGGTTATTGGTCTTGGCGCTTGGCTGGTACACTCTCTCTACATACGGCCTCGACGGGCGGTCCTGATACGTCAAGAACTGGAGGTGACGGTAGAAAGAAGCGTTTACTCTCCATCCTCTCTTGTATGTCGTTCGTTCAAGCGCTGGTATTCTGAGTCTAATAACTTTGGAAAGGACCTAGTACAGAAGGGGAGAAAAAAGAAGTCCCCATATCCTACACAAACGAGATATTCTACGCTCTTGCGTCATCAAAGCCTGTTCATTGCGGCGAAACATGAGGCGTACGTCCCTTTTTCTAATTCCGAGGTTTATATTTCTCATGAGTATAAACTTAGGCCTTCGGACGTTTTACAACCACCACCGCCTGTCGCGACGAAAGAGGAGGATAGACCATGGTCATTCCTCACCCCAATGGCACCTGCCTCTCCATCGTCCGGCACCGATAGCCGATATGGAATCCTATGGGATTAGACGCAAACGGGTGGCATTTCTATCGATCGACACAGATGTATCTATATTTTTAACAATTTTGTAGGATTGGCAATACCACGATACCCGAAGCTGGCGCTTTAATAAAGTCCATGAACCCCGCCCTCCCGTCTATCACGATCAACGTGTCTCCAGTGATCATTCTACAATCTTATGAAGATTATCAGCTTGTTTCTTCGGAGGATAAATAAATGAAGTCGAGCAGCAACTCTAGTCAAACCAGCACCCATCTCTCCCATGAACCCTCTCCAGCCAAAGCCGTTTCCACCCCTCCGGCGAATCAGGTGTTAGGGGAACGATGTGAAGTTCCCTTGAAGTGGTCTGTGATCCGAAGACGAGTTGCGATAAGGCTTCTTGACCCGCATGCACTAGATGAAACGGTATCTGCTCGACGATGACAGTCATGACGTTTGACGGGAGCCACGGAGATATCGTTGTCCGCAGGCTACCCAAAAAGTTCAACAACATTCAACGCTATCGGCTCAATTTACTTACTGAAGGTGATATCCCGGCAAACGAAGATGGGTTAGGACAGGAGACAGCACACCAAGGCATGCACCAAAGTGCATCGGTCTCTGATCTAGGTATCCAGAAATATGAAGCCGCCGAAGAGCTGGGAAAAGTGAGAGACAGAAATCTTCGGTTTCCGGTTCGACCTCATCGTCGGAGGTGAAGTTTCGACGGAGATGGAGCTCTCTGAGAACTGGGAGGACAGGGAAGAGTTCTTCAAGAAGTAGGGGCTCGAATGACGACCAGTGTACGGAAAGGATTTCGAGCGATGGCGAGATAGCTGCCAACAGAGCGCGAAATGATCTTAGAACGATGGTGTCCCCCTTGTTCATTTCTTTGTGGAATATCGAAGGCTCCGACAAGTCGTCCAGGTTGACTGAGACAATTGAAGGTGAACCCCCCTGCAGCCTCATCAAATCGACCGCCTCATCAAGCATATCCTCTTCTTCGTCGATACTCATCTCCCCTTCATAGCTGGTTCCGTCAGATGTACTATCCTCTTCCATATCAGTCCCCTCCATCGCCTGATATTCGTCATCGCTCTCATCGTCTGAAACGTCCAAAAAGAGGTGAGGGCAGTGAACAAACAGGAATCTAACCTGCTTGAATTCGGGTTGGAGCTGGGAAAGGCGGGATTCAAGCGCGAGAATTTGCTTCGATCGCACGACCGCCAAAGATTGGTATTTGTACGGCCTTGAGATCTCGTTGAAGCGCCGAGAAACCAAGGACAGCGAGCGACCCGTCCTTCCGTCGTCTGTACATGCTAGCGCATGCACTTGCATCCAAATTTCTGTCGGGAGGACTCGGTCCATAGTAGTGGATGAGAGAACACTTGAATGAAAATTTGATTCCGGTATCATATACAATTTAATGGATCCCGCGCTGCGGGCGCATGCGTGAGCCGCCCCTATACACCGTGTCGATAGTGAATGATATTCTCCTACTCAGCAAATGCAGCATGACCTCCGAGTCGCGAATAGAGTAAATCAACGTTTGATGAGGTTTTCGGGCGCTTCAAGCTGAGCAACCAGGGCCCGGGCGAGTGCAAGGTAAATAAAGTATGCGAACCTGTTCAGCTCGAACTCAGGGAGGCTGACATCACTCGGAATCTCGCTATGAGCCTACAGAGAATCCAAAATTTGCGCTGAATAACGCCTGGAATACAGGAAATGATATTTTTAGCCCTGTCCTGAGACTGTAATTTGATTTCAAGGTCTGGGCTGGTCTAGGTTGCGATGAAGATAGGTATTCCAAGATTTTCCTTGAAAGGCGCTTTGCATATCGCTAAACCGTAGATGCTCGTGGAGAAGAAAACCGGTTGGTTCTATTTTGTCAAACATAGAATAGGATAACAAGCTATTGTTGGGGCTCCACGAGATCTCCGCCGGATTGGAAGGAAGTCGATCGTGGAGCCAGATAGTGGAGTGTGCAGAAACCTCGTGCTAACGCTACCCATGGGCCATGCTGCTTCTGAAAACTCTGATGGGCATTTTTTACTTCGTTGGAGATGGAAGAGTTTTCGTGTGTCTTGGTATGACACGAACAAAAAATGTAGATTCCTGGCGGCCATCGAAAAAAAGCCCGAATTATCCAACGATCTTGTTGGGTTTGCTCAGAAAATCAGAGGATCCGTTTTTGTACAACTTGAGGTCGTGGAGTGCCGGAAAGCCCTCTCAACTGAGAGCCTCCAAATCATTCGAAATGAATACTGTGTTCCTTCCTTGGTCATAGATAGGCGGAAAGTTATAATCGTGCATGTTCAGAGCAACGGAAGACCCACCAGACAGCTCACTTGACAAGCACGAGGCAAACTGTCTTTGTCAGACAGCAATTGAAAGAGATTATCAAAATACGGCGAGACGAACGCGCCTTATGCCAAGAGAGCTAGGACCATGTTTCAAGATAGAGTAGTGGCACAAAATCTTCTGCCGGAAGCTCCTTTGAAGCGTCATTTCCTCGTGGGCCAAGGCAATCCCTGAAAACTAATGAGGTAAGCGCGTGCTGGGGCGAAAAAAAGAAGAGATAATTGAAACTTCTGCCGGCAGAAACCAAACGGGCGTCCCTTCCTGACCTCATTAACGTCCAAGGGCGGTCCAATTCGCCTTGGTAATACATTCCGCCGCAGCAAACCCTCGAGGTCGAAGAAATAAGGTTGAAACTTAAATTTGTAATGAAGCCATGCGATGTTGAGCTATCGCGATCAATCCAAAGGGTCGTGCCTGTCTCAAAAAATAGCCGCTGGTAAAATCCAAAGCATGCCCTCTCAAACAGATACATGAGAACCTATTAGAGGAAATAGAGATTAATCCTAGCACGTCAAGGAAGAAGGGGAAAAAATGACGTATGACCCCGCTGGTAGACGGTAACGATGCTGAGTCAAATTGTGGCGACTTGATATTTTCGACACGTTTCCTTATCTCTTCCCGCGTAGCATCACCAAGCACTCACACATCATTCCTAGCGCGAGTAAGATTAGCGATTCAATCATAATGGGTTTTTCAATTTATCCAGATCACAATCTCACATTGTTCACTCCCGCGAAGCACGTGCAAACGTACCACCCGCTTTCACTCCATCACAAACTCAGTTCTTCTCTTGAAGCTCTTCGCTTTGTATCCCAACCCTGAGACCCATACCGAGCAGATTCCGTGGATTCGTCGGTTCGATTCTGCCTGGGTCTTGCAGTCACACGTGGTAGCCTCGGTAAGTATCTAGAGAAAGCTGGAGACTTGTTGTGAGTCTGGATGAAGAAACGGGAGTAAATGGTCGGAATCCTGCCCATAATATCTCGTGTGCATCACGGGAATCGAAACTATGGGGGCCATTAACAGACTTGAGCAATTTCAATGGCGCGAGACATCCTACACGATCCGAAGCGGATCACCCGGCTTTTTCCAGTTTCTGACCAACCAGAAGACTTCATTTTGATCGTCAAACAGGGAAAGGCAATTCTTACTGAAATAAGGCTCCTAATCTCTCGAGGTGAAAGTTTGGAGATGGGTTGGGTATTAAGAAACGCTGATTCATCCTCTTACTCCTATAGCATGATATGAAATCGGAGATATACTGTAAAAAGGGCACCAGACTTGATCAGGATCAGCATAGCTGGCCGTAGGTAGTTGGTAGGTAGGACATCTGCGAGACGCGAGCTCTCGGCGGCTTACCGATCATTGTACTGGGTATTTATCTGCCAGTTATCTGCCCGGCAAAGCCCGAAGTTTTGTAGTTTACATGTTTCTCAATGGATACAATACCTCCGCTGCTGAACTTAGACATGTACATATTCACAGTTGTAAGCTATGATTTACCCTCAGAGAGCCGAAAGTTTCATGTGGCCAATGCAGAGAATTCGAGGCCAAAGTTATCTGCCACCCCCAAAAGTTATCTGCCATTAGTCACGTGCACGTGACGGCAAAGCTGGACCAGAATTCCCGGAAGCCATCATTGACGGCACACAAACAATTCTTGACTTAAAAAAAATTTTGAAGCTCGAAGAGATGCCGTAGGTTCTGTTAACAAGGTTCTAGAGAGATTCGTTGAGAGAATCCGGTGATATTGGTTTGTTGTGCTGCCACCTGACTCTTTCATCTGCGCGCTTCGCGCGCAACGAAAAATTTGGCCAACTCCGAGCAGCGTTACCTCTAAAAGCACACAAGCCATGTTTTGTGAAAAAATCTGGACACAATATGATGTTGAGAATATTTGAGCAGATTCTTTCTATTTTATTTCTTTTCTTTGTTTGGCTTTCTTTTGATACCCAGTACATTGAACGCAAAACCCTCTCGGCATCCTCCGGGAGCTGATAAAATAAGCAGACCCAAACACTAGCAACCATTCAACCAAGTCTTCATTCGTGTCATCCCGTCAGTACGCTCTGCCACAGTTTAGCATGCCTAAATTGTTTCTGATGATGAAAGAAATTGACCCACCTCATCGAATGTCTCAGCGCTGAGAACATTGGCAGGCTCTAATTGTAACGCGTATGTACTCCTGCCCTGAAGAGTTTTAAAATTTTAACCCTCACGCAGTGCAGACTTTCATGGGCCTCCAGATCACAAAGAGTCTTGGCAGCCGTAACGAGAAACTTGGCATCATCGCGTTCAAAATGAACGTCAGACCACCAAGGATTATGGCAGAGGTTTGCGGTCTGATATCCATCTTACTTCTGGTACTTCGCTCGCTGACGGTTTGATTACCAAGTATCTCGTTGGTGGGCGCAACATCCTTATCTTCGATCTCGGAGAAGGAAAGGCTTCCTGAGTTCTCCTCAAGCATGAAGCGGTTTCCAACGGCCCACTCTGAACGTTTGAGGTCATTCCCGGAAGAAGATCCGTTAACAATGTCACCAACTAGGGTCGAACTAACGTGTTGCGTCAAATTATTCCTCTTTCTGATATCTTACATATTTGCCTGTTTGCGCCTCGAATATCACCAACGATTCAAACTCAACGTTTATCCATCCGATCCTACTTACTGGGTAAATATTCAAATTTGAATAAGCTCCGATTCTCATCTTTCATAGCCTAATGATACTTCTATAGTGCGCCAAAAAGCGCATCCAACACGTCCACTGTCCAGATGGTGCTTGTACTCGGGTGGCCTTAATTGAATGCGATGATCGAAAGAAAGTTAGCATAGGTCGCGGCTGGCTATTGACTCTTCGTCATTGGATCCTGGTTGTGCGCTGTGGACGCCTGGGCAGACTATGTGCCTCAACACGCTCAGATCCGACATCACCTGCGTCCTCGCTGCGTGGCGCCTTGATCTGATCAAAACAAGTTCGCGTTTTTGACATCACCATCATATTTGATATCGAGCTGATCGTCGCGTACGGTGGGTAACAGAACGCCAAATTCAGGTGAATACAAATCCTACTATCCTAGTTCAATGACACATATATACGTCTTAAACTGACTTTTTCAATTTTTGAGGTCAGAATTATTTCGCGGAACGTATTTGCACGGTTATTCCTGTCAACACCCTCACATCGAGGTTTCGCCTACAGGTAGATAAATTTAGAGCGGTATTGTAATTTCACCACTGATATCAAGTTTTTAGCAAGCCAAACTGGCGACAAACTGGCGATACGAAGTCCCCAATTGAAAATCGTCATCGCAGTTGATGTGCCTTGAAGTCGTATCCATAGCGTTCCAGGGCTCATGACTTTTGAAGTCCTGATGAGTGGGCGCGTAACTTAGCCAAATTCAAGATCAAATACAAGACATGATGTCGAAGTGATATAAATGACTGTAAGCATGACCGGACAGTAATTGGCCACTTTCCACCAACACCATCCCTCATGGATCCTGAGGCGGCAGCAGCTCTCCAAGCGTTCATCACCTACCTGCATCATCAAAGGGAGTTTGCGGATGTGCGTGTTTGTCTTATGCTGGATCGCCTTCACCTAACAAATCGGCTTTGCACAGTACATGTATAGTGAGATCGATATCAACTTTCAATTTCGTGTTCCATTTTAACGATTTTTGAGGTAGTGTCCGCTACGGCGTTAGTGGTTCGTCCTCTAGTTTTAACCGCGTTGGACATCCAGCTCAGATCGGCAAAGGTGTACGATTATTTATTGAATATAGGTCGAGAGATCAAGATGATCTGGTTCTCGTCGTGGACGTATACTAAAGTCCTGTACTTTATTGTGCGATATTTGCCTTTTTTAGCCTTTTTTTGCTATCTTCGGAGTAAGCCTTTCTTTCTACCTGGCTTGATTAGTACTCATATGGGGGTCAGTACAGCTGATGCTGGGAGTTACGAAGGCGTCGTGTGAATGGGTGTTTCCGTTGGTTACTTGTGAGTAACGCACTGCGCACCGACTTTCAGTCAAGCTAACAGTCGTTAGGGGCGACGACAATTTCAACGTTCACTGCAGAGCGTATGTACCCCTCGAGATTGATTTACATCGTTGTTTACGATGCGGATTTTTTCCGCAGTCGTCATGATGATCAGGACTTGGGCAGTTTGGCACCGAGACATGAGGGTCGGCATTTTATTTGCCGCTTTATGCTGTCTCTACATCGGTCTCGCGACCGTGGGCAACGTGAGATTTGTTAGAAGCATAGTTCGTGCGTGGTTTGTTTCCCGCCGCTGGTATACTTTGTCTGACAGCTCGCTTCTGTCCTAGTGGCGGACCCCCCCTATCCAGGGTTTAGAGGCTGCTTTGTGACAGCTGCTGCGAATAGTTTGACGAATGATTATTCCATGTTAGTAGTGATGGAATCCCGTATGTTTCATTTTTATTTTCGACCCAACGTGCAGCTTATATTATTCATCAAAATTTCCAGTCGTCCTTATATTCACGGCAGCAAGTGCCATAAAAACTGGTAGGTGACAACTTGATGACTCTGTATTTGACCCAAATGCTTTTTTCTCATCAGCTAAAGCTGGAAGTTTCAATCACCTGTCATCGATCATCCACCGAGATGGTGAGTATCATTGTGTGGTCGTTTTGGAGATTGAGACTGACGGTATGCAAAGGCATCATCTTCTATATGTATCTTCTAGGTTCGTACAAGTTATTGTCTGCATCCCTCTAGCCACTCATAGTTCCTAAAAAGTCGGGTCTATTGCAAATGTGATCTTTTTCACTTCCGCACCGGTACGTTCGTGCCCGTCCACGCGAATGATCAGGAGTGATGACCCTCAACGTACAGCTCGATCTCCACGTCGCCTTTGTTCCGTGAGTGCATCAGTGCTTTTGTTCCAGTCAAATCAAACGGTATTTTGAATTGCAGGCAATGCATGGCGCTGTACGCTGGGCTTACTAGCCGCGTGGTGCTTAATATTCGTGAGGTCGCCCACTTGGGACGAAATGCATCCGGCACCGAGACACAATTGCACGACTTCAAAAGCGAGGAAACCAGCATCCCTATGGCTCTGCGCCCACAGCAGGAGTTTAAAAGCTAGCGGGAGCTAACTTTGTAACAAACTCTGCAATTAACGTTTGTAACTTATGTAGCGATGAATTATTTATTCCATGGAGCTTATCAGAAATTTCTGCACCTTCATGATATGACGCGGAAGAATTGAAAGAGGAGCATCTAAAAACCTGAGTAATTCAAAGTGTGCTGGGGATACATAAATTTCATAGCGGAGAGTGACTACTATGCATTGAACGTCAAGGTTCCCATACCAGCGCAAAGACCTCCTACTCAGCTTCCTTGGTTTGTACTTGAATCCTACTGAAAAGCCGGTTCCAAACTTATCTATATTGATTTTCCACGTGGCGATTGGGAACTTTTGATCTAATCAGTGGATTTGAAAACGGACATCATGAGTCCGGAGTCTACCGTCATCGTGATAGATGAGTAGTTGTAGTCCAACCTGGATCTCTCCTCGTCGACTTTCGATATAATGTGAAGCCGCTCCTTGGTTTATGATTATGGCATGAGCTCACTGCTCAGCTCGTATTTGGGTAAATAAATATAGCAGACGTTGGTATCGCTGGCAGTCGCTGGCATAATAAATGAGTATACCCAACTCTCCGACCCCTATCTCAAATTTATTTGCGTTGTAATTGATGTGCCTTGGGAGTCGTATCCATAGCTTTCCACAGGGGTCGATCACCAAGTTCAAGGCCAAGTGGCGCAGACGTGTTATAAACGAAGGTGCGGAGGAGGTCTTGAATTGGTCCACCGTTCAGTCCTCGCCACCCATCATGGCGGAAGCAGCTCTTCAGGCGTTCATTACGTACATGCACCACCAAAGGGAGTTCGCAGATGTGAATGCTTGTCTTACTCGTGATCGTTTCACCTAACAAATTCCCTTTATAGTATATGTATGGTGAGGGTAATTTCTATTCTTGTGTTCTATGGTTTACCAAACTCTCAACGCAGTCTCTGGCACGGCATTGATGGTTCGTCCTTCAGTCACGGTAGTAATCGCTCCGAATATCCAGCTCAGATCGACATAGATATACGATTATCTTTTGAACGTGAATCGCGAGATCCAAATGATCTGGCGCTCGCCGTGGTCGTATACCAAGGTTCTATATTTTATTGTTCGATATCTGCCCTTTTTGGCCTTTTTTCTGTTCCTCTGGAGTGAGTCTCACTCGTTTAGTTTCAATTTGGCGTGATTACTCAAATTGAAATCAGTCCAAGTGATTCGGGGAGTTACGAGGGCGTCGTGTGAATGGGTGTTTCCGGTGGTAGTTTGTGAGTACCTCGCCGCGTCACGAATTCTGAGTCAACTAGCAGTCGTCAGGGGCGACGACAATTTCGACGTTCACCGCAGAAGGTATTTCCTCTTGACATTTTCCCATCGTTTTTTTAAAAAAATGTGAATTATTCTTGCAGTCATAATGATGATTAGGACGTGGGCAGTTTGGCACCGAGACAAGAGGGTCGGCATTTTATTTGCCGCTTTATGCTGTCTCTACGTCGGTCTCGCGACCGTGGGCAACGTGAGATTCATCAGAAGTTTAGTTCGTACGTGGTCTGTTTTCAACCACTTGTGCGTCTGGACCGATGCATTGGGCTTCATAGTGGCAGAACCTCCTATTCCTGGGTTCAGAGGCTGTTTTGTAACCGCCGCTGAGAACAGCTTAACGAACGACTATATCATGTTAGTCGTGATGGAGTCCCGTACGTGCCCACATCTCTTTTCGTCCCACATTATACTCACTTGTCCAAGTTGTCTTGATATTTACGGCAGCGAGCGCCATAAGAACGTGTAAGGGCGAACTTGATGACTCTGTTTTCTCCTATAATCTTTCCTTGCATAGCTCAAACCGGAAGTGTTAATCGCCTGACAGCGATTATCTACCGCGATGGTGAGTAACACCTCTGAAATCGGTTTGGAAGTCACGACTGACGTATGCAAAGGTATCCTTTTCTATCTGTATCTACTAGGTTTGTCGTGGTCCTTGTCCATGTCCATCCATTGAATCATAGTTCATAAAAGTCACATCCATCGCAAATGTGATCTTCTTGACTACGGCACCAGTACGTTCGTTCTTTTCCACACTATTTAACGGCGTGATGACCCTGCGCCCGCAGCTCGATCTCCATGTCGCCTTCGTCCCGTAAGTACCACAGTCTTCTTATTTCAGTGATATACAACTGTCTTCCGTCCTATTCACAGTCACTGCATGGCGCTGTACTCCGGGCTTACAAGCCGTGTTGTGCTCAACATCCGTGAGGTCGCCTATGCGGGACCGACTACGACGGGATTGGAAACACAGCTCCACGACATCAAAGATGAGGAACCTACTAGTACTACGAGCATCTCTTGGGCTTTCCGCCCACGTTATGACTTTAAAGATTAGGCGGGGGCTGGAAACCTATTTATATACATGAATTTGCTTTGATCAGGTTTGTATACGTGCATGTATTAACTTAATGTTTGAGAGAGTCCCGTCTTCTGAACGTGCCGAAGCTTGACTGAGAGTACTGACTTTGTGGGAGACGGGGACAAGGGCAGGATGTTGGAAAGATACTGCGAAACAACTGTAGGAGTGGTAAGAACTTCAAGCAAGCCTGCCAACAGACCTAATCAAAGATCAAACAACCTAGAACAAAAACATTCGCAGCCTGTAACATGTTTCCGGTAGGCGGTAGATCTTACTTCATTCCGTTGAGAATATTTTTCCAACATTAAAGAAAAAGAAGTCCGACCTGCCCGGTTCGAACGGGCGACCTCAAGATATGATGTTTCCCATTACAGTCTTGCGCTACTTCCAACTGAGCTAAGGTCGGATAATAGAATTCACGTGGATTTTAAACATAACGGAAAGTACCAGAACACCAGAGCGGAGCACCTCGGAGCACACGCAAAAGCAATGCACATTTCAAGTAAAAAGACCAATTCAACATAGTGAAATAAAATGGAAACGCTAGCCACAGTAATAAGTAGTGCGCTGAAATTCGATTTCAAATATGCCGCTGAGCGTGGGATGGCTTTGATTGAGTTGATTGCCCACGTTTGATTCTCACACTCAGCTCTCACTCCCAAACTCGCCATTTTCTCTCAACGACGACCAAGCGAGTCGCCAACCGTCGCCTGTGTCTTTCGTCATATACTACTTCGTGTAAATGCTACACAAAATCTCTTGACCTACCGAACAAGACCGTCGAACTTGGTCGTAGTCATGCCAAGATCTTTCGCCTCCCTCGACGCACACAAGCACTGAATCATGACCTGCTTATTTTTTTATGCGATTGATAGACCGTGCTCGATCCATCCTGCTCCTATTATAAATACTCCCATCAACCTTGGGCAGTTCTGCGAGGGGTTAGGGGCCTCGGTGAGTGTGGTAAATGGTCAAATTCTCAGAACGGTGTTGACGATATAAGGAAGCGGGTGCAACGGTGGATAACAGTTGGAATCCCCTCTCCTTTCGCCATATCCTATGTCAGATGCTGATGCTTTTGAGGTTTTCGTGAAGTACCTGCACCATCAGCGTGAGTTTGCCGACGTAAGTAACCCTAACCGCCCACTGGGATATCGTCTAATCTATCACCTTGGCCTAGTACATGAACGGTAAGATCGTCTATACAGTATGGTCTTCCGTCGCTCAGCGGTTCCCGAGACAGCATCAGCAGCGGCGCTAGTGGTAAGTCTTGGAGCTATCGTCGAACTTAAACACATCTTACCCAAAGCAGGTGTACGACTATCTATTGAACTTTGGTCGCGAGGTAACCCTAATCTGGCTCTCGCCATGGACGTATACCAAAGTGCTGTATCTTGTGGTTCGATACCTCCCCTTTTTAGCCTTTGTCATCTTTATTCGAAGTGGGTTCTCTCACTTTCCTTTCTCTAATTCCACCATTAATATGCGGATTAGTTCAGCTTTATCTTGGGGTTACGGTGGCCTCGTGCGTATGGATGTACCCGGTGGTCGTTTGTAAGCACCCCCTCAAATGCAAAGATGCGCCTGCTAACAGCGTTCAGGGGCCACGACGGTCTCCACATTCACAGCGGAAGGTGGGTGTTACCTTCGCATTCTCTCACGGTCCGTTCTGATTGCGCAACCTTCCTGCAGTCGTCATGATGATCAGAACGTGGGCAGTCTGGGGTCGAGACAAGAGGGTCGCTGCATTTTTCCTCACTCTATGTTGCCTCTATATTGGCCTTGCGACTGCCGGCAATGTCAAGTTTAACAGGAGCGTTGTTTGTACGTTGTTCCCCGCCGGCCCTCCGTCGTTGTTATCTGACCATGTGTCATCCCATTTGTAGTTGCGGAGCCTCCATATCCAGGATACAGAGGCTGCCTTGTAGTCGAGGCTTCCAAAAGTTTGACCAATGATTATTCCATGCTGGTGGTTATGGAGTTTTGTACGTTGAAAATCCATCTATCGTCTTCTGGGATTAATTCTTTATAATAGTCGTATGTGTACTCACGGCCTGGAGCGCCGTCCGATCATGTTGGTGCACATTCTGCAGCTGCTGTCTCTTCCCTGATCCTCTTTCCTGACACAGCCAAAACTGGAACTACGAATCGGCTCTCGGCAATCATCCACAGAGATGGTGAGCAGCATTCCCGCTGTCCTTTGAATATGAATTGACCCGCGTCAAGGTATTCTGTTTTATCTATACCTGCTAGGTTCGTTTCAGGTTTTTTCTGTGTTTTGCGGTTCGCTCAGTCGCAATGAAAGTCGGTTCCGTCGCAAACGTAATCTTTTTCACTGCCCCAGTTATACCGGTACGTTTCCCCCTGTCCCAACAGCTACCTGATGTAGTCAACGTTACCCCGTCCAACAGCTTGAACTTCACGCTGCTTTTGTGCCGTAAGTTTCCCTCGCTTATTTTCCTTGGTGCAACATCCAACAGCGCTTCATTTTGCAGAATCTGCTTGGCACTCTACACAAACCTCACCAGCCGTGTGGTGCTTAACATCCGCGAGGTTGCCCGTGAGGGACGTAATAAATCTGCGATGGAGACCCAGCTGCACGACTACAGGGATGATGAGGGGGTCCAGGAGCCTACGGTCATTCCGTTGTCGCTTCGCTCACGGCAGAAGGAATTCCAGTGAGCGAGTGGCAAGGATACTAGATTACTTACATACCCACTTCTTGAACTAAATTAAATTAAATTATTGTTCCATAGCGGCCGTCCTTGTCGTGGTTCAGAACTTCTTTCTGTTTAGTTCCACCTATGCTTCCCCCATGCAAAACATATGATTTTTCAGTGCCTTGCGGCATCGAGTAAGGGAATACACTGGGAGTTGCGCTTGTACGTGAAAAAGACGACTAAGCGATCATCACGTGCCCAATATGTACCTGGATAAATTCTCGTTCCGTACCTTCCGACGTTCCTACTCGTCCAGACGACTAGAATCGTTGAGTGCGCCGTCTTTCTCGTTGGTACTATCAGGAACTGACTATCCCAGGAACGTTAATGTCATATGCGCGGCGCGAACCCGCCTCAGTCGCGTCATTGCCGGCCGAGTTACTGCTCCATATCCTCAAGAACGTTTACGTCGACAGCAGACAGGGTTTGGGGACGTTCTGGCCACACGAGTGGTGCGAGAGCCTGTCCGAATGCAATTGTAAACCGAACGAGCCATACCTCACAAAGTGGAACGATAACACCGATCTGAAATCATCCTCGTTGTTCCCCTATGCACTCTCCTCCGTTTGCAAAACGTGGCATGATGTGATGCTCCTCGTTCCGGCATTTTGGACGCGCCTCGTTATCTTTTTGGACGACCAACCAACCGCAATCGCGGAGCTGCGCTCTCACCTTTCTGCTTCACGCGACCTTCCTTTTCGTGCCCACATCTTCAATCGCGAGGATGCGATTAGTCAGGATACCGCCGAGAGGGCCCAGGTTAGGGCAGTGGTTAATGAGCTGTCCCCACATCTCCACCGATGCGAGCAGCTCACGTTCGACGTCATGCACAATTCGTCCCTTCCTTCCATTTGCCACACCTTCAGCGGGTCCTTTCCACTTTTGACGGAGCTGTCCATGCGGTGCAGAATCTATGATGAGCCTGAGGCAATTGACAGCCAAGGGGAAGATAACAGGGATCCATTCCTTTTCCCCAACCTTACCTCCATTTCCCTGACTGGCTCGGCGTTCGTAGACGCCAATAAAAACCCAGACTCGGGAATGGGAAAAAAATTGCGCTTGTTTTCCCTCTCCCACTTATCCTCCTTCGACGACCCCGGCCTGACCCTCACCGGCCTCATGCACATCCTCAATAAGTTCGACAAGATCTCTAGCCTCGAACTCAAACACATTGACCTGCCTTATAATCCCAATGAGCAAATTCCGCGCGGTTCGCAGCTCCGAGTGCATTTTGATACCATCCTGCTTGAGGGTTTCAAAAGGGCAACTTTCGAAGCGTTCAACAGGTTCATCGGTGGAGGGGACTCCGAATCTCTGACAATCAGAGCGTGTGAGCTTGCCGGCAATATCAGCGATACGGTATATCTCACCTTGGAAGACATCCACAGTACTGAGGACTTACTCTCCGTCATCCCCACGCTCTCCAACCACTGGTTCACCTTCACCTCTTGCTCAGGACTCAATGACGCCTGCTTGGAACTCCTTTCAAAGCCCGATCCAAGCACAGGCCAATGGAACGTTGAAACATTGTCGAGTCTTAGTATCTCGGGTTGCCCTGGGATTTCCGTTCGGGCGCTGAAGGAGTTGGTGGAAGGCCGGAAGGTGGAAGCTACAGCGCGCGGGTACGAGACGAATCCCCACTATGACGACTTCGACGAGGTCTCACCTATTGAGTCGCTTAACGTCTATGATTGCGGTCTCGAGTTTTCTCCAGAAGACGCTCAGTGGTTCAAGGAAAATATCGGAAGCTTTTATTTCCGGTCGTAGGATATTTCAGGTGGGGTATTGCCTTTGTGTCCTCTATTGAATCCACTCATATCTCAGTCATAGGGTCCATAAAACATGAAGAAAATATAATGTCATTATAACTTTTGAATAACGATGTCCTTGTTCCCCCGCTTTCGCTGGTGGAGAAGTGCGACGCCCTGTTGAATTTATCGTGTTAAACCGGCTGAAGCCGTACCCAGCACGGGTTATCAAAGACGAGGTATCAGACTCGAGGACAAACAACCTGAGCGCCTTTCTGTGTTGGTCTTTCTCGTCGCTGGTAAGAGAAATATCTCTGTTCGACTCTCCGTCACTGGGGAATTCGGTACATGTGCCCGCCGGGTTGCGAAAAGTGTAGGCAACAAGATGCCAGCCGGCGAGAGGCAGGTCTAGGGGCAGGCCAACTAAGGATCACCCTCACGCGTTTCTGGGCCCAATTTGAGTTTTCCTTCGCAATCGACTAAGTACGTTCTTTGCTCCTGTAACCGCTTCAACTTACAGAAGCCTATGCAAAGTTATCTATCTATCCTTAGCTACTACTAGTAGCCGTGACATCCGTGTTCCCGGACAACCGCTTTTGAGATATTTCTTTCCACTCCCTCGGAATCGCCAAGGCTCCCAGCCTACCAAACAACGCCAGAGTACAAGACATCTTACGCAATCGCTGTCCATGGGCTTGGAAGAACGTTTGATAGCACTGAGCAGCGCTTCGGGAGAATGGATTGAAGGAATTCACCAGTATTAGGATGACGTTCAAACGCTCATTGACCACCTTGCTCAGCTCCAGCGGAGTTGCATTCGCCAGATGATACAAGTGACCATGTGGTGCCGAAGTCTCTGTTTGTTGTGTCGCTGATAATGTGCAGGTGTCTTTAGCATGAAAGCAGTTCAAGGTAAGAGTAAAACATGGTTATGTGACGTTTCACATCAGTTGAAGTAGTAGCAGGCTCCGGCCCAAATCTACGAGGCAGTTACTTACATACAACAGTCGATTGATTCATTCGAAGTTCAGTAAAAAGAACGAATCATCTACATCAATAATGATAAGGAGCGAGTTAACGAATACAACAAGAACAAAATAATCAAGAAACATCAATGAGATACGAACGATCACCCTCAAAGGTCCCAATAACAACATAAATCAGTTCACCCCTCCCCATTTACAAACCCGCTCGCCTCTACCACCCACCCCGTCCCAACAGCCCCCTCAAGCTCCAGATCTCCGTAACGCTCTTCCCCGCCCTCTTACACATAACCGCACAAACATCCCGTCCAAACACGACTTTCCAAACACTCTCCCCTGGCTCACTCAAATCTCGCACATAATTCCCCGTCTCCGTCTCAAACAACCTCACCCGCCCATCGTTCCCACCCGTCACCAGCCACCGTTTATCGAACTGCAACGAGGTGACGGAAGAGTCGTGTGCGGCGATACGGTGCAAGATGGTGTATGTCGCCAGGGAGAACGTGATGACCCGCCCGTCGGACCCACCTGTTGCGAGGATTGGGATGGGGGGAGAGGAAGGGCTGGATGGGGGCGTGAATGATGCAAGTTGGAGTTGGCAGACGAGAGCGGTGTGGCCTTGCAGGAGGGCCAGACATTCGCTGTTATGCAATTGTTAGTTGCGTGTCGAGAGGAAAAAGGAGAGGTACACACCCCGTAGCAGCGTCCCATACGCGAACGGTCGTGTCCAGTCCTCCGGAAGCGATCCTCACACCATCAAAAGCGACGCTGTATATCTGATGGAAATGTCCCTCGAGGACATGAATGCATTCGCCCGTATCCACGTCCCATACCTATGTACAAAACGACATCATCAGCATCTGCAAAAGTACCATCTGGACTCGGAGAAAGGGGGGTAGTTGGGAGAAAGCAATGGGGAAGAGGGCAGCTAGGCTCAGGGAAAGAGCAACAACTGTACTCGAGGAAAGAGCGCAGTTCAACTGAAATGAAAGAAAGAGGAAAGAAAGAACACCACGTGAACCCGAAGAAACAGCACCAATTGAGAAGGGGCACCAGCTGTGGTGTGGAGGAAGAAGCCATCTGGATTGAAAGCAAGAGCCTCATTCGGCCTCAATGAAAAAAAATGCTATCTGGACTTAGGGAAGGAGGGCCGTTTCAACCCAAGAAAGAAGCACAGCTGGACTCGGAAAAAAGAGTACCAGCTGAGTTCGGTACAAAGACCAAACTCGAAGAAAGACCGCCGGCTGGGCTCAATGAAAGGGCACCAGCTAGGCTCAAGGAAAGAGCGCCAGCAGAGGAAGGGCACCAGCTGGGCTCAAAGAAAACCCCACCAGCCCAAAGAAAGCACACCGCTTGCCGGGCTCTCAAAAGAAACACCAGCCAGTCTCGAATGTCCAACCGGCTCGAACAGAGAGAGTCACAGACTCCAGAAAACCCCAGCTCTCCACCCCAAAAGAAATTTAAAAAAAAGCAAAAATCAAACGCAAAAAAAAAACACCCACCCGACAAGTATTATCATAACTCCCACTAACAACCCTCCTCCCACACACATCAAGACACCTCACGCTCTGATGATGTCCCTCCAACACGCGTAGGCACTTTCCCTTCTGGACATCCCATACGCGCAGCGTCGCATCGCGAGAGCCGCTGATGGCGATGGGGCGGTTGTGTAAGACGCGGATGCAGCGGATGGTGGAGGTGTGCCCTTGGAGGATGTAGATGCATTGCCTGGGAGGGAGGGTGATGGTTAGCTGGCTGGGGGCAGCACAAAAAGGCTTAAAGAAGAAGAAGAAAAAGCGACTCACCCACTCTCGACATCCCAAACCCTCAACACTTTATCGCACCCACCACTCACGACGATCGAGCTCGGTTGGCCCCATCCGATGGAGGAATAGCACATGTTGCTTGGGGTTTCGTTTTCTTGTGCGTTTCCTGTTTCTCGTCCGTCTACGTGTGAGTTTTCCTCTTCCGTATGGTGGGTTTGTGGAGATGTGTTGTTTTCGTGGTGCAAGTCACTACTCGCGCGTTGATGGTGATGGTGATGAAGCGACTCCCGACCTTCTTGATGTCCCCCTGCACGTCGATGAGACCCATACTCATCCTCATCCGCCTCATCCTCATCAAACACTCCATCATCGTCCTCCGTCTCCACACCACCACTCGTCCCGGAAGAACCATCCGAGGACGCATCCAATCCCAACGCATACCTCATCCCAGGCGAAAGCAAATGGTCCAATCCATCACGTACGTCCATCCCAGCCATCCCAGCTCTCAAACCCCTCATCGACGCATTCCCAGTCCTCGGAAAGGGTTTCGGACCCTTCTCGTCCGCTTCCTTCTTCTTCCCTTTCCCTTCCTTCCCATCATCATCATCTTCATTTCGACCCCACATCCACCCACCACGACTAATTAAACAAACGCCCCACACCCCCAACTCATGCCCCACAAGCGTCCTAACCATCACCCCCGTCTTTGCACTGAATACCTGTATTTTCGAGTTGGCGAGGCCGACGACGATGTAGGATGAATCGAGGGCGACGGAGGTGATGACGCCGCTGTCCGGGGATGAGACTGGGATGCGGTGGGAGGCGAGGAGGTGCCCGCCGTGCCGCCAGTTTTGATCTGGTGAAAGGGGCGGGGGTTAGTAAGACGGAACATAAGGAAGAGAATGGGGAAGAGGAAAGAGGGAGAGGGGGGTATGGGCGAGCGACGAATTGGAAGGGGACAAGAGGAAGGGGAGGAAAAGACTTACGTGTGATGTAGGATACCTTGAAATGCGAAAGATACGAAAATTCCTCTTTTTCTCCCTGTTCATCTTCCTCTCTTTCCTCTTCGCCCTCCTGTGTTCTGGGTAAAGGTAACTTGTTCACGACCGGTCGTTTTCCTTTTTGCGTCCGAGATTTCCCTGCTCGACCCGCAGTGTGCCACTGTCCTTCGTCTTGAATTGATGACGACGCGGCTGGGTCGGCGTATGATACAAGGGGCGCGGATAACGTATCATTTTCGTGATTTCTCTTCGCGCCTTTCGTCGTCATATCATTCCCCCTCTTCTCCCCACCCCAATCATCATCAAACCCAAAAAAGACACACATCCTCTTCCACACACACTCGTCCCTCACAAGCGAACACCAATACCGACTAACCTGCGCCCCACGCACAAGCGTCTTCGGATCATCGATAAACCCCAAGATGTGGATCGCCAACTCTACAGGGAGGGAAGACAAAAAGTCTCGTTTGAGTAGCGGCGCGATGGTGGTTGAGATGAAGAGGAGCTCGGAGGGTGTACAGCTGTTGAGAACATCTGTGAGGAATTGTCTGCGGAGGAGCGGGTTTGCGGGCGAGGAAGGGTTGCGTGATGGGATGTGGGGTTGATTATGAGTGGGGAAGGAGGAGTAGGGGCCTGGAGAGGGTGCGGGTGTAGGTGGTGATGCGATAGGCATGTAGAGCGTTTGCGAGGTTTGTTGCGGTGGGGAGAGTTGTGAGGCGATAGATGCGGCTGCTGCTATGCCACTGCCACTGCTACTTTTGCTCGGGCCTTGAACAGTGGAAGCGAGCGCCATATTTTTACGGTCGAGCTCCTCGTACTTGCGTAAAGGCGTCGACCGCATTTGGTTAGCTGAGTGGAAGAAGGGCTGCGGGTGTGTAAGAGTTTGGCTGGCTCGAAAGAGCAAATGACAGCGTACGGATAAAATATCTTGCTGTAGCTGTAAGGAAGAGGAGCTGTAAGAAATAGATATAGCAGTACCACAAGTCACTCACAATTCGAACAAAACAGAGTGTTCACAGTCCACACTCTGCGCTCGGTACCGAGTCTCCGTCACCAGGACGTCGTAGATGATTTTTCCCGTTCACACTCGATAAATAATGATCTGTACAGCCGACTTTCAGCTCACGATTAGCAGCACACCGTCCTCGGTCCACACGCACCTGTCTCTCGATCACCAGAACGTGTGGCTCTTGTAATCAAGCCAATCCGGTACCTCAGCTGTCTTCTTGCTTACTTTCCAAAGCGTCGATGTCAGTCGTTCGAGCCGCGTGTCGTGCCCGTGGAATCGAGGCTGGACGGTGGTTGTCGTCGTTGTCTGGGTTGAAACCGCAATGCCAACCTGGTGTCTATAAACAGCGACAAATAATGATGCATGATGATTGAATTCTCCGTGGTTTGAACTTGGATTTTGTTCTGGACCCGGGCGTTCGTGGGTCGAAGAAGAGGACGCAACTTGCAAGGGCACATGCAAAACGAAGCGGGCCGGTTGAAAAACATCTCCTATTTTGCCCAAATGCGCAGAGAAGGATTCGAACCTTCATCGATTCATCTCCACAGTTTGACTTAGTCGAAAGTGGTAGTGTTTGACCGTTACACCATCTGCCCAACCATTGTGAGATTTTGATTCATCTTCGTTCAAAAACATACATACATACATTTGCATGAAGAAAAAAAATTGCATACTGTTGAGACTTTATGCACAGAGAAGGATTTGAACCTTCATATCCACAGTTTGACTTAGTCGAAAGTGGTAGTGTTGACCGTTTCACCATCTGCCCTTGAACATTGTGAGGTCGTGATTCATCTTACTCACATGCTTACGTTTAGGATCTTTCACAAAAAAGATTCGCGCCATACCGACGATCAACAATTTCAGCATACTGCACTGAGTAAAATATACAGTCGCGGCCGACATCCCAGTTCAAGTTTTAGACAAACCGTCGACGTTCAAGTTTCTTGAGACGTGCTTGCGACCACCCAGAGCAGCAGTGACGACTCGCATCCCATCAGAAAGGAGATCCAGAGAATTTAAGGGCGGATTGGTGCAATGGTCTGCACACACGTTCCTACTGTGAAGCCTGAAGGTGAGGGGTTCAAATCCCTATCTGCTTATATGTAATCATTGTAATGCGTTCTCAATGCGTTCTTTTGTATCTGAGACTCTGTTTCTTCCAATGTTTCCCCCCACCACCTCCACCTCCAGACAGTTGCAAGGATCAGATCATTCATAATATTCATATCCCCTCCCTTGCGGCCACACTCATTAAATTGAACATCAATATTATTTCAGTCGAGGATCTCATGAAGGCAGTTCATGAGGACTCGGACGAAATCAGGCGTGCTAATTCAAATGAAGAGGCTGAACACACTGGTGCCTCACTGTCTAAACGTAAGTCAACCGTGAATTTTTTCTTAGCTCAGCGATTCTAATAAATGCTCTCAGTACTCTCCAGCCAGATGAGGGGGTCAACGGTCCCGCCCGTGCCGATTTATTGGTGAAGGAGCGTCGTCGTCGTCTTATGGATCTCACCAGGGAGGCATTCCCCCAAGGCAAAGTTCCAAAGAGTTTCTAAATCTCATAACTGGAAGCGTGCTAGCACTCATTGTGCATCTCGTGGTAGTATTGAAGGGCGCGGTCACTGACTAGAGAGGAAAACGTTTCTAATACTCGACCGGGATGTACTGGTGCCGATTGAGGAATTCGATGACGAACGCGTCCGTAACTTCTTCGGCAGGATCATCGCCGTGGGCCTGAGCGATACGGAAGCCCACACGTTGAAGGTAAGTCGAGAACAGCAATGGTGCCTCGTCCATCTCAAACTTTGGGCCTGTAAGAGTTTGACCTCTATAAACCCCCGTCTGAACCGCGCGGAAAAAATCATCGCGCTTTCCAGCCGCTTCCTCACGAACCCTGCGCAAAGACGGATCGTCAATCGCACGATCAAGTTCGTTTTTGACGTATCTAGTCGCTATATGAGCATAAAAAACAGCCAATGGAATAAACGTACTTACGACTCTACGGCCTTGTACGTGTTTAAGCGAAACTCGTTCAAGGCACCATTCCAAACAGCTTGTGCGACAAGCTTGTCGAGCACGAGATGTGCGAGGACTATGTTGTCGGTCGCGACGTTCTCAGAGCTGGCGGGGTAACGCTCAGCCAAGAGCTTAGCTGCCCCAAAGCGGACAGAATTCGATACGTCTTGTGCGGTCCTCAAAAGGAGCGTTTCACTCGGCTGCGCAAATCGACGAAGGTTTTCGCTGGCTTGACGAATGCGAAGGTCAACCCGGCGGATAAGGGTGTTCGCTGAATCACTCTCCGGAACCCCACCCTTTTGCAGCCCGGCGATATAGCGTTTATGCAGGGCTATATAGATTTTACGATCTGAGATAGCGGGCGTGATGAAGTCGAGGATTCGAGCTTGTAGGTCGGTACGTCCCATAATGTTGTCAAGCGCTTGCATGAGCATGGTCTGGCGTGCGAGGAGCAAGAGATCCAGCATCGAGCACTTTTCACGAGCTTCTTGATATAGCTTGCTGGCAAGTGGGAGGAACTCAATGCCACGCGAAACATGAGGAGAGGCGTAAAAGCCGAAGGTCTTGAGAGCTCTTGCCTCCTGAACGGTCCAGTTGATCATCGTATACGATATGCTGTGACCGTCAAATTTCACCGTGTCGTTACGGACGTCGCACCCCTTGATCACGCCGGACGAGGCTTCAACTTCCTGTCATTGCGATTTCAATCACAATAAGCATCCGCTTCCGGCAAAAGTGCAAGCCTCACCTTGCGTGAATGAGTGGCCAAGACTGTCACCAGTTTGACCGGGCGAGCGCCCTTAATTGCTCCAAGGAGGAAGGCGTCGTTGAAGCTCTGTCCCCATACCTCAGTGTCCAATATGCCACCCGGAGTGTATTCAGTGAGAAGACCCAAGGCTGCGGCGGTACCAGTATGGGACGTATCGTGCCAACGGCCGATAGCGAGGCCTTCTGCGGCCTTCGAATTCAGGAACGCTTGGTAAAGACGTTCCAGTTCTTCGCGCTGCGGAATAATCCTCTGGGTCCAGTTATCTTTGCCGATGAGAACAAAGCGCGCGTGTTGGTAAAACGACTCCTTGTCGGGATACATGCAGTCCACGTCGGACGAGATAGCGACCTCCCTTGCCTGTTGCAGGAACAAAAGAATCTCCGAGACGGCCTTGAGCAACCTGTCCTGGTCTGCCTGGAGGCTGGAATCGTACCACGAATCGCCTTTCTGACGGCCCGCTGCCACCTTCTCTACAAGGTCTTGACGGGCAACGGCAATCTCAGAGAGGGGGGGAAGTGCGTCGAAAGCTGTGAAGCCAGTGAGGACAAATCACTGAAGATAGATTTTACGCACCAGTCAGATCGTCGTCAAAGCGCGCTTCAGATAACTGGCGAAGCAAGTCGATGTTGATAACCTAAGCCTCCGTCAATGTGCGTGTACAAGGAAGAATAAAGCTGCAGGCCTACGAGTTTCTGGAAGGTAGCACTCATGTCGATGTTGATAGTTAGGGCTTGCTGAAACGACGAGATTTTCTTGCAAGGCGCCAGTGTTATCTGTTCAGATGATGTGCCTCATGCGCTGTGTAACCAACCTGACGTGCGGCAGTGCAGCCATGAGGAGATCTAGGCCGCTCGACAGCCGCAACTTTGCCAGTACTGGCGTGATCCCAAGTTGGGTTGATTCAACCAAAGTCCAACACGTGAGGAGCAAATAGCCTATAGTAGACGCGTCAGTGAGACAACGTTTTCGACAGTACGTAGGCTCAGGTAGCAGCGAGCATGGACGCATGACTTCAACGGATTGCGGCGAGAGGAAAAGAAAAAAAATCATATAGAGAAGGTTTCGCAACCCTCTTTCGAGCAAGGGACGCTGGAGAACAAGATCAATAAAAACCAGAAGCAAATCAAGTCGTATTTCCGCATGCACCCACATTGGTGCTCAGCCTTGTCACAAAAAGCTGGTGACGTAGACGTTTTTCCACTGAAGATGTGTCGCTATGACAGGTATAAGCGACGGCGCTGCTGGTGAGATCCATCCAATGCGGGGAATGATGGGGAATAGCTCGTTGTGTGCTTGCATGGTATTAGAAAATGTAGAAACAGGAAGAGGAGTGCCGGTCTACGTACGATGCTTGAATGACAGCCTGAGTGGGGAGCACTTGGCAAGGATCACATACTTCGCATCATCCTCCAAATTTCAAGGCATCTCCCAATCAGCCAAAGAAGGCGCCTTCCAAGCTCAAAAAGAACCCGTTGGAGCCTCTCCTCCTTCTCCCGTTCCGCCAAGTCCACGCTCTGCGAAACGGTAAGCCCATGTCAAAACCAACAGAAGGGAGAGAACTTACATACACACCCTATCAGCACAGCAACTCGTCTTTCTAGTGTTGCGGGCACTGGCACCCGCTGAACGCGTGGAACATACACTTGGAGTGCCCGCTGTCACCGAGTCCGAGTACCGCTTGCTTGCGTATATGTCAAAGTACATGTATGCGGATAACGCGACTAGGAGAGTCCTTGACGCGTTCTGGCCAATCGAACAACGTTGAGATTCATGAAATTCAGGGTGGTTCGCGCACTGTTGGTAAGTTTGGATGAAGGACAGTCAGGGTCATTGGGAAAGGCTAAAAGTGGATGTGTCATTATGGCATCTCCGGCCCGGTTTCTTTCCCATTCTCATTCTCACACTGACCACTCGACAGCGCCCGCGTCCTCTGATCCTCGTTTTGAGTGTGCTATCGAATGTACCCCGCACTGGCTCGAGCACGACGCTGAAGGAGCATACCAACGGGAGGTATGGGCTCTAATACTTGCAAATCGGAATACAAGTTACAGCTGATCCTGTTAGCAGAAGAACATATCTGATCACCCATTTCGCGGCCCAAAGACGCGACCCATTCGTTCTGCGTCGTCGGCTGCCTATTCTCTCGGAGAAGAACCAGCTGAATCTAAGCGCGTTCCCTCCGACGCGTGCTCTCCCTCTCCCATCCCGCAACGTATATCCCATTACAACAAATCAAATCGCCGCTCTCTGAATTGACGTCCATCCATTGCGACCTCTATATGCTGAAATTCACAACCTGAAGGCCCTAACCCCCGCCTCCCATCCGTATTCCATGAAGGCGATCAAACCCTCTTTACTCCCTATCAGAAATGAGTGACGCCACGGTGTGTGCTAGCCGAAGAAGCAGATTCGGCCTTCGACGAGACACCTGTAGGGTTCGATGGAATTGAACAGACAAACGAGGGTGTGAGGCGTATAAAAGGGGAATCCTAAGGAGAATGGAAGGTATTGAGCGTCAGAGGCGAGATTGAAAAGGGCAGAGATTCCAATTGGTCCGTGTTGCTTTGCTTTTGGATGTTCCAGTGCTCTTTACCATTGCCCTTCTGGCCAGTCATTTGTAGTGCCGAAGGGTGTTGATGCTGTGCGGACGCAAGTTTGTCTTCACTTGTTAACGTTTTTACCAACCTCCGCCTCACAAAATCAGAGCAACTCCTCTCCGGGCTCACAGGAATAAGGCGCGAATCAGCACCCACGTGCTATGCACCAACTAAATTCTGAAACACCATCGGGGCCGTTCAAGTTGGGCGCCCATCAAACTATCTCAAGGTTGCAAGACCAGGAAATGCGCAGTTTCATGACTAAGCTAACAGCTGACCTTCTGGCTTTTTGTGTAAGTTAAAAGCATCAGAATGGCGATGTGTTCAATGAAAGAAGTGAGCTTATGCACCGTTATTTTTCGTGGAGAACCGACTTTGACATGTTCTTAGATGAAGTTGACATACCGAAAGTGTTGTGGACCAATTGTGGATATGTTATAGTAAATTGCTTTCTTGATGTCAGTGACCATTTACTTACCAAATGACAATGCCCAAGATTGGGGGCTCAATGTGTGTAGAGAAAAACGGGACACGGTAATAAGGACAGTTGAAGAGGTGGGAAGGCTAAGATGAGAAGAACTTGGATCAGATTCCATGCTGGTTCCATGAATGGGACACATGGGTAGTGCAGTAAGGAATAACTTTAATGATGTCACTATCATGTACCCTCCTTTCTGCATTGTCATCATCTAACCAAATTTTTTAAAAATTCTCAAAACATGGGATGAGTGATGTTGCTTGAACAGCTTAGGTATACATTCACTGGATATATATGTACAATGATAAACTTGCAACATCATGAGTCAGATCTATCCTACTGAAAATTGAAATGAGAATTTATGATCTCAGAAATTTATAGTATTACAGTACCTTTCTCTTCAAAATCTTTGAAAGTTTACTTGCAATTTTGGAAATACAGTGAGCTAATATTATTAATTTGTAAATTAACTAGACTCTAGAGTAAGTAATACTCACCTATTTTTTTTGAGTCAGTTCCTGAGGTATTTATATTGGCTAGAGATACAATTACTGCAAGTATTTCCACTGCATTGACTGTTTCTGGATGTTAATCTCCAAGAGTCTTCCTCCTTACATCTACAACTTGGGTTTCAAGCTTGACTGCATCTTCATATTTTTGTAGATAGGAAGATGTTATTGCAAGATTTTCCATTACACTGAGTGTATCTGGGTGTTCTTCTCCAAGAAGTCTTCTTCTCATATCTAGAACCTGTATGTGCAGCTTCTCAGCATCTGCACATTTTCCTAAATTCCGATGTGTAACTGCAAGATTATCCATAGCACTAATTGTCTTGGGGTGTTCTTGTCCACATAGCTTGTATCTCATATCTAGAACTTTGATTTGTAGATTCTCTGCATCTCCATATCTTCCTAGACTCTGATATGTAACTGCAAGATTATTCATGGCAGTGAAGGTGTCTGGGTGTTGTTCTCCAATAAGTCTGTTTCTCATATCCAGAACTTGGAGTTGGAGCTTTTCTGCAGCTGTGTATTTTCCCAAACTGTGATATGTTGTTGCAAGGTTATTCATGGCACTCATTGTATCTGGGTGTTCTTGTCCAAGACATCTGTTTCTTAGATCTAGAACTTGGACTTGTAGCTTCTCTGCATCTCCATGTTTTCCAAGAATATAATATGTGTTAGCAAGATTACTCATGGCACTAATTGTATCTGGGTGTTCTTCTCCAAGAAGCCTGTTTCTCATAGCCAGAACTTGGATTTTGAGCTTCTCTGCATTTGGGTATTTTCCTAGACTCTCATATGTAGCTGCAAGGTTACCCATGGATGAGATGGTCTTTGGGTGTTCTCCTCCAAGACATCTGTTTCTTAGATCTAGAACTTGGACTTGTAGCTTCTCTGCATCTCCATGTTTTCCAAGAATATAATATGTGTTAGCAAGATTACTCATGGCACTAATTGTATCTGGGTGTTCTTCTCCAAGAAGCCTGTTTCTCATAGCCAGAACTTGGATTTTGAGCTTCTCTGCATTTGGGTATTTTCCTAGACTCTCATATGTAGCTGCAAGGTTACCCATGGCACTCATTGTATCTGGGTGTTCTTGTCCAAGACATCTGTTTCTTAGATCTAGAACTTTGATATGTAGCTTCTCTGCATCTCCATGTTTTCCAAGACACACATATGTAATTAGCAAGATTACTCATGGCACTAATTGTATCTGGGTGTTCTTCTCCAATAAGTCTGTTTCTCATATCCACAACTTGAATTTTGAGCTTCTCTGCATCTGCATATTTTCCTTGACTCTGATATGTAGCTGCAAGGTTACTCATAGCAGTGATTGTATCTGGGTGTTCTTCTCCAAGTAGTCTCTTTCTTAGATATAAAACTTTGATTTGTAGCTTCTCTGCACCTGCATGTTTTCCTAGACTCTCATATGTATTTGCAAGATTACCCATAGCTGATATTGTATCCTGCATCAGGAAGATCACAATTTACTTCTCTGCTTTTAGTGGCTTTTCTGCTTGCCACAAGCAAAGAAGCCAAAAAGCTGAGAGGCTATACTACCGAAAATGTAACAAACTGAGAAATTATGAAAAATACAATCTACATAAACCCATCCAGCTTTGTCTTCCTCCTAGGACCCTGTCTGGACCCCATTCTGGTATATACAAGCTACATATTGTATTCATGCGCAACGACAACCTGTGGTCCAGCAGATCAGATGTCAGTTTGAGCCCATGCCAGAGAGCTCAGCCTCAGCAGCCAGCATTGAGAATGTAACTGCATGAAGCAGCATCCTCAGGCAGCAGCTAGCAGCAGTATATACTTTGAGGTCGGCACGTATGATGGAAAGGAAGAGGAAGGAAGCTCATTGGCGTCAATGGTGATGCGGTGACATGTCACCATCACTCATTTTAGACTCTGATCAAGTTGAACAAGATCCGTCACACCCCAAGCTTTCCCAACTTCCACATCAACGTCCACACTCCATGTTACATCTTGGCTCCGTCCTGCCTTGACGTATCTCTCTTCATGGACTACTTAACTTGGAGCTGGGCACTTCCCTCTGTGGGTCATTGCATCTGGTAAGCACATTAATCCCATCACTCTCTATTCTCTTCCAAACCCCTTCACATCTGTCACTAGCGCTGTTCTGTTGTGGCTGCGTCCCAGCTCTGGGTTTGTTGGTACCAATCTTTTCTCTAAACAGCCGTTGCTGTCAATTTTGGGCCATGTGAAGGATTGAGTGTAAAGTATTAGCAAGAGGTACTGTTCATATGTCTCTTCCATTCATTCACATTACTAATTCCTCTGTTCTATAGCCAAATCATGCCAGGTAATCTGCTACGTAGATGGAAAAAACTGCGTAGTATAGTATGAATTGAATCAGCTTGTTATACTAACTTACATTAGTTTCTCTTTTGACGTCTTTGGCTTTTTCTCAGCTTTTTTTCACTTTTTCAACTTTTTGGTAAAGTGAAAAATTCAACTTTTATAAAAATTGGACTGGGCTTTTTGTCTTGTTGCTTTTCTACTTTTTTCCACTTGTAGCCACTTGCACAAGCTAAAAAAAGTAAACTGTTAAACTGCTGATGTGATGTTCTTCTCCAAGAAGTTTGTTTCTTAGATGTACAACTTTGATTTGTAGCTTCTCTGCATCTGCATATTTTCCTAGACTCTGATATGTAATTGCAAGGTTACTCATGGCACTAATTGTATGTGGGTGCTCTTCTCCAAAATATGTGTTTATCATATCCAGAACTTGGATTTTGAACTTCTCTGCATCTGCATATTTCCCTAAACTCTCATATGTAGCTGCAAGGTTACTTATGGCTGAGATTGTATCTGGGTGATCCTCTCCAAGGGTTCTGCTTCTTGCATCCAGCACTTGAATTTGAAACTGCTCTGCCTCATGATTGTACCCCTGTTCTATCAACAATCTCCCAAACTTCTCATGAGCATCATCAAAGTACCTGTCAACCTCCTTCTTCTTTGCCATTACACTGTTGGCTCTCAAATGGGTTACCAAAATTCTTCTGAATTGGTATGGCTGCACATCAAAGTCTTCTGGCAGAGAGCCAGCTAACATTACATATGCTGTCAAACAGTATTTCTGTCTATCATCTGGGGCCATTCTGTCTCTTCCCCATGCATGAATGAGTGGATGCATGGTATAGATACCATTAGATGAAGCCAGTTTAATCAGGCTAAAAGACAGTAATACTCGAACTCCCTCTTTGAATACAAAATTATCCCATTTTCCTGTGGGATGAAGCCGAAGCAGTGTATGGTCTATTATGGAGCTGGCAAGTGGTAGAACAGAACTCTGCTTATTATCTCCATATTTCTTATATTCTTGAGTAGCAGCATAAGAAAATATCTCTTCAGTAATGCCATCAAAATGAAAGAAGGCAAATATTGCTAGCAGAAACATTGCACTCTTAGCTTCATCAACTATTTGTAAATCATTACTTTTAGCTCTTTGCTGAATTTCCTTGAATGAGAGCTCCCAAGTCCCATACACAGATCTGTTATATTTAGATGCCCCTTTAAAAGCTGGGTAAGATAATAATTTATCTCTATATTGAGAATATTCATCAAGATAGTCTCTGATATCTGTGTCCCTGTAAGCAATGAAAGCACCAGCCTGATCAATGGCCAGAGGAATGCAAAAGAGCTCATGTAAAATCTTGGAGGCCTCAGTTTGTAAATCCTCCAGAGAGTCATCCAAGCCAGCAGCCTTTAAAAGTAAAGAAATGGCATCATTTTCTTCCAGTTCTTTCACCTCAAGAGAATTCTCATGTAAAGTCAAATGTTTTAAACCAGAGTTGCGACTAGTTATCAGAATATTCCCCCCTAGCCCAGATGGAAAATATTGCTCTAGTTCTTCAGGCATCAGATTATCAGCATTATCAAAGACCATAGCATAGTTTTCTCTTAGACAACTGATCCACCACAGAGCAGATTGAGGTGAACCATCCAGTGCAGAAGAGTGAGCCTCAGGAAGGTTACATATTCCCTTCAATCCCTGTGTGATTGTATCAATGGAAGATGCATCAATCCAGAAAACATGGGAAAACCTGGGGACAAATCAGTAATAAGCACTCAGTAGAATGATAAAGTACTTGCCAGTCAGACATATCCTCGATGAACCTCAAACAAATTTGAGTCTTCCCAATGCCGCCCATGCCATACAACAAGAAGAATTTTTGAGGGCGGAGTTTATCATTGCTTTCCTCAATAAAATGTTCCTTCAGTTTTGCTAGAATGTCAGTCTGCCCTGTGAACCGGATACTTGAGTTTGGCTTTACAGGAACTGCTGCATCAGATGTCATTCTGTTGCCACTGCTAGTGTAGTAATTGATCTGTGGAAAATACCAATTGATCAGTTTGTGATGAGAGACGGTATCAGAGAACTTCACTTACAGTATTGGCAGCCATGAATGTGCTGCCTCTTATCACGACATTCTGAGCACCTTGGAGAATATGTTTTTCACTCATGTTGGAAATGTAGCAGATGGGGGCAAAAGAAAGAAGCAAGAACTTGGGCACAACAGACCCCATCTTGCCACATGTTGACCATGAGGCATCTTTTGCATTTTGCCAGGTGATACGGAGTGTAACAATACACCCGTAAAAATGCGAATTTTAGCGATTTCTCCTATAAAATCTCCTATAGTAGAAATACAGTCACATTGATCATAAGGATCATTAGATGCAACCTGGTCTAGTCGATTAAAGTCTACATCCGAGAAATGTGCACGCCTTAGACAGTAGGAATTGCAGTTGGTTCGTGACCGAATCACCTCAATATACTCGAAGTCTAATAAAAGGCTACACTACCATGAAATAGTATGCTACCAAGTGTTCTAGAGTAAAAACACCCCCGCACAGGGTGTTGGAGTTTACACCAAACCAGGGTCTCACTTTATTATGGATTAAAAGATATTAATTCTAAAGATAAACGCGCGAGCGTAGAAACTCAACGCGTACCTGATGCGAGAAGTCATTCGGTCACGTGCTACGAAGCATGATCCAAGAAGTCATGTGGAGAGACGCATCATGCGCATCACGCGCATCAACGCATCACAAATCATGGCATCATTGACCCAAGAAAACTAAGCTTCGTGAAATATTCCAAAGCCTGCCAAAAGAGAAAAACTATGAATGATTTGCCATGCGGTCCAAGGCCTGGGCATAGTATCTAATAATAGAGAGAAAAATCACTAAGCGGACCGTTCGTCTCGGCTGAACCGATCGTGAAAACCGTTTACGGCGATTCCCGCGTACGCATCAATACTGATGTGTCGCGTTGCCACAATAGAGAAAACACTATGAAAACTTAAAAGAAGTCAGCTCAGTTGTGCCACACACAACCGAGCCACTTCAAACCTTTACTAAAAATCAGTATTAATTCGTCCGACCTCTTGGACAACGCACGGACATGTAAATATAAATAGAAAACATAGAATAGTATAAAAAGAGGACGCGCGCAGGCTGAAACACAAGGAATTATCCCCCGCATTGACCAGCTGTCACACTCCCAGTAGCATCTGAGGTAGTGGATAAGTTTGTAATCAATTTAAGGACTTTTCTTCACAGACATCAGTAACGTGTGCCCGGAACCAGCGTGTTAAGTGGGGATCACAAAGCTTTTGTAAGGTTGTCTTGTCAATTAGTAAGAGAGCTCTCTACTATTACCGAGGAATCCAAGTGAGCGTGCTTGAAGAGTCTTTAAGACTAGTTTGGACCGCATCAGAGGCATAATAAAAGCTCAAGGGAGTTATAAAAGTCTACAAAGCACAATTTCCTTGTCATTTCTTTGTATACAGTTAGAACACAATCCCAGAACACCGAGACAGTCCCAATAAAAGCCGTTTCCCTTCGAAGACTACTAAGTTTCGAATTCTATACTGTGTCTGCATGTAAAACAATACCTTTTGTTCCAAAAAGGTCTACTAGACTTAGACAAGTGATATAAAATATACAAAAAAACGTTTCCCCGAACTTCTACTTAAGTTCTAACAAAACAAGTGTGGTAATTCTGTTTACCGTACGAACCCGAACTCGAAGTACCGAGCACGTACCTGTGGTGATAAGTGTTTAAGGTGTTTGTGTGTGTGTGTGTTGTTTAGGTGTTCACGCATCTTGTCAGCGCGTCTGATTACACTATTCTCATTCCCGCGTGACACGGTCTTCTCACAGGGCACATGAACTTGATCAAGTGCTTGCTCAACACAGCTCAACATTGTCACCTGTCCCATGTCCCATGTCCCATGTACCATTGGGCACTCAGAACCTGGTTCAAAGTGTGAATGTTTCAGCTCATGGCTATCATAGTTGAATGCGACGTTGTCACATAGGTCAGTTTTCTTCGTTGTGGGTGTGGGCTGCCCTTCAACAAACTTACCCATTGAAAACTTGTTGAACCTGGCGTTAGCCATCTTTGCAGGCACATGCCAGGGATTCAATGCCAGAAATCGTACATACACTTAGGCGCGCTATTCATCCTTTGGAAGGCAGAGTGAAGTATTGACCAGGGCAAATGATTGAAGGGACATAGGTTTGGTTGGCGCCATCACTTGTCAGTAGGGCTGCACACCGTAGCTGTCTTAGACGGTTGGATGGGTGCTTTACCTGTCACCGTTTCAGTTTAGAGATGAGATCTGACGGGATGGTTGACAGGACGGATAGCACCCGTCTATTCCCGTCACCTGGACGGCTGTCTGAACGGTACAGACGGCGATGCTGTGGGAAGTTTTTGAACTTCTTGCTACCACGCCATCAACAATGATGCTGACGTTGACAGTGTCGTCTCCCACTGCCCTCCATCGAGCTAGGCGAATCACCATCCTATCCTTTCACCTACCACTAGCTCGCAGCCCATTCAGACAATGAAAACTTTCTTATGGCAGCCCTGTTTCACATATTTCATCTTACCCCTCAGTGTGCGTCGTTTCACAACTTCAATGATCATGCTCCAATCTTTGAAATTAGTCTCCAGGGGTATGAATCCCAGAAAATCAAATCAAATCCATGAAGTACAAATGCATACACCGCCCACCGCGAGGGTTTTCATTTGTTTTGTTTTTCAATTGTACTTGAAAAAGTTGTTTGAAAGCGGTTTTCGAATTATTTAAACATCTGTTTGAATCAACCAAAGACCATATAAAATAAAAAAAACCAAGCCTAGTTTCTAATACCAAGAACTAGCATCAAAAGTCGTTTACAACGGCAGCCATAAAAATCAGAGAAACAGCCACATCTAAAAGAGCTAGAGAAGGTCCACAAGTACCCTTACCTCCTACACGGAAACCCAAACGCGCTGCTGAGCCAGTCGTACAACGTTACCCATTAAGAAAAGAAGTACCTCCAAAACCTATACCTAGTCGACCTGTGAAAGCTGTTCGTCAATCTGAACCAAAATCTTCGAACTCAAAAGCCAGAAGAAACCCAATAATCATGCCTGACCCATCGAGTTCAAGCATAGAAGAACCGGCCCCTACAGGTCGGTCTTCACACAGAACCATGCCATTACCCGGTAATAAGGGAGCCCCGTTCTTCGATAAAGAGAAACCAATTGAGCTTCTACGTTTCTTAGACCAAATGGAAGATCTTTTCGCAGAATATGGTATTAATAGTGACGTGGAGAAAAAGAAGAAATTAGGAAAATATATGGATCAACGGACTGAATTCGAATGGAAAGCATTTAAAACATTCGAAGACGGCTCCTCTGACGAGTTTAAAAAGGCTCTAATAGCAGATTATCCTGATGCGCGAAATGCAGGAAAAGGGACCTTAACTGGACTAAGAGCTGTATGTAGAGAAAACAGTCGGCTAGCAGAAAAGAACTTGACAGAGTTGAAAATTTTAACTCGAAGTTTTAGGGCACAACAAAAATTACTCATGGCGCCGCCAGTACTGGTGAGCAACCGAGAGCTAGTTGACATGTTCTTAGGCTGTCTGACAGATTCCTTTGCTGATCAAGTTAAGGCCAGTTTGAATATTGAACAAACTAGAGACCGAAAACAGAAAGGCAACGAGGATGAGACCACTGCTAGAAGAACTGAAGATCCATACGATATCATAGACATCATAGACATGGCAGAAACCATCGCTGGACGTCTTACTGGAGACTCCCGAGACCACCCAAGCAACGCGAGAGCTGTATCGACTGGTAGATCAGTTCAAGCGCGCAAACGGGAAATTAAAACGGAGCACGATGAATTCGAAGAATTGCGAAGTATTACTGTGACGTTCCTTGATCAAATTAAAGTAGATCAAAAACAGAATTCAGAACTTCGTAATATGGTACAAAACATGCAGATCGAAATGAAGAAACTCTTAGAGACTTTAGTTCACCAACAGCCGAATATCAGTAACCCACAAAGCAAAGTGGCGAGTTATAAAATGACTTCAGATGGCTGTTGGTACTGTGATGAACCAGGCCATTTTACTTCGAATTGTCCACATAGAGAAGCACATGTAGCCCAGAAGAAAATCAAGCTTCTTGGGAACCGAATGTATTTTACGCATAATAATACTGCAGTACCAAGAGGGAATGGCGAAAAATCCGTTCGACAAATTGTCGAGGAGGCTAGTAGGCAAAATTCGACTCTACAAAATAATATGTTTGCAGAGCCTGGAGAAGTCTTTAGTCAAGAAGCTGTTGTCCCAGGTATAATCAGGCTACCGGATAATAATAATGGAAATGAAATTTCCGTTTTTACAAACCAGATGCGAGATACAAGAGACGATGTGATTCTCAACATGAACAACCAAGTGTTAAAACTTACCGACATGCTTGCGAACCTTGTTACAAACCCCAATAAAACGAGGGACGTAGATGCGTCGCAGTTTGCCATCACCCGTAGATCTCAAACCGAGACTCAGGGACAGTTGGGAAACTAAAGAGTCTGATGAAGGGGCCTTCCAGTAAGACTAAACCCAATGCTGGAGAACCAAAGGCACCAGAGGATGCACCAAAGAAAAGGGGTAGGAAAGTTGTGATTATCAAAGAATCAGAGGAAGAAGAAACTCCTCCCGAGAAACCAGAAAATCTCAATGGACCAAAGAAAACTTTGAAAAATAATCAAAAATTACTTGAAAGAAATGATGATGTCGAGGATCCTAATCCAAGGCACAAACAATTACCGTATCTCGGTATCCCAGACTTAAATAGTAACACGAAAGAATCGGTTGAAGAGTATGACCCAGTGCCTTTCTATGAGAAGCGCCCAATAGCATACAAGCATTTAGCTCCAATAGAAAATGTTAAAAATGAGGAACAAGCGTTGAACAGTCTGTTAAAAGCACCTGTTACTCTAAGCGCGGAAGTACTTATGAGCATTTCTCCTGGAGTAAGGCAAGAATTGTTTAAGGCCTTAGCTAAAAAGGAGGTACCAATTCAGACTGCTCACAATCGAACAGTAACTATAGTCGAGGAGGTTGATAAAGACGCACCTCCAATTAAAAAGCAAGAAGATAATTTTAATTTCGGAAAAATCAATATAAATGACTTGGACATCAAAGCCACTTTTATGTGCACAACAGAGGATGATGGAGTAATACCAAAGGGTTCTATAGTCCTGACAGATCCTGTTGAGCAATATTTGCAAGGCCTAGGCTCATCGGAAACTCCAAAGGAGATTTACGTATCTAAAGAGTCCCATGCTTTAAAATCGATATATCCAGTAATTAATAAGTTTCGTCAAGTAGAGAGCTTGTTGGATGGTGGCTCACAAATTGTATCAATGGATGCGGAGGTTGCTAAGAAATTAGCAGTCCCTTGGGATCCTGATATAACCATTCAAATGCAAAGTGCGAATAGAACTGTGGAAAAGACCCTTGGTCTCGCCAAAAATGTTCCATTTAACTTCGGAGGAATTACGATTTACCTGCAAGTGCATGTAATACGGGACCCAGCCTATAAAGTACTATTGGGCAGGCCCTTTGACGTGTTAACAGGGAGCGTGGTCGTAAACTCTACGGACGGAGGACAGACGGTAACCATAACGGATCCAAACTCTGGCAGAAGAGCAATGTTACCCACTTTTGACAGAGGAAAACCACCAGTAATGATGAAAATGCACACTGAAGAGGATCTTCAACCGAAAACTGAGAAAGTTTTTCAACCCTTGATGATTTGATTATCGCGATAGCTTTCAAAGAAGACGGTGCGGGAGGATATAAAGTCCTATCGTACGCCTTACCAATGGACGATCAATTCTCTGAAGAAGAGACTAGGAATTTGTATCTTACAAAATACTTAAAACATGAAAAAGAAAAGATGACAGACAAGGTGGCTAGTACGGTTCTGGTAAACTACTTAGAAAAATATTATTCTAAGCAAAGTCAAGAATCGGGCACCGTGTCTACAGTGGAAACCATGATGAATACGATATATAACCATGATGGTAAAGCGCAACCGAGCGAAGTGGAGGGTGAACATCCTGCGACAAGGGAGGTACTGGTAACTAAAAAGTATAAACCAGTTGCACAGAAAATCCGACCCGTCTTTCAGGACCTGCCAGATAAATTTCGAATTATTCAGGATATAAAAGGCGATCCAATGGACACCTTGCCAAAGTTGAATAGAAACCCACCAGAATTCACACCCACGGGACGCTATACTGAAGAACGAAGAGAGCAATTTGACAAAGTTCATAACGGCGATTTCTTGTGGCCAGAGGAGCGCAAACTATTACATCATTTTATGATGGAAAACAACGAAGCCTTTGCTTGGGATGATAGTGAGAGGGGGAGCTTCAAAACAGAATACTTCCCACCCGTAGACATTCCAATAATTCCACATACGCCATGGGTTTTGAAAAATATTCCAATACCTCCTGGACTTTATCAAGAAGTGTGCAGAATTATTAAGACCAAATTGGATGCTGGGGTATATGAACCCTCAAATTCTTCTTATAGGTCAAGATGGTTTTGTGTATTAAAGAAAGATGGAAAAAGTTTGAGGCTTGTACATAGTCTGGAACCTTTAAATGCAGTGACTATAGCACATTCAGGGTTACCACCTGCAACCGATGCACTTGCTATGCATTTCGCTGGTCGAGCTTGTGGAGGAATGTTTGATTTATACGTTGGATACGATGAAAGGCTCTTGGCAGAGACTTCCAGGGATCTGACTACATTTCAAACTCCTTTTGGAGCTTTAAGACTTGTCACTCTACCCATGGGTTGGACAAATTCCGTTCCAATTTTCCATGATGACGTTACGTATATTTTACAAGAAGAAATTCCTGAAGTAACTGTGCCATATATTGATGATGTGCCTGTCAGAGGGCCTGCAACAAGGTACGAGTTGCCAGATGGAAAATACGAGACTATACCTGAAAATAGCGGTATAAGAAGGTTCATAATGGAACACTTCGAAAATGCTAACAGGGTAGTTCATAGGATGAAATATGCTGGAGGAACCTTTTCGGGATTTAAGTCGGTAATTTGTGCGGCTGAAATAACAGTAGTAGGCCACCTATGCACTTATGAAGGCAGAAAACCGGAAACGAAAGAATAAA